TTGCTGTAAGAAGGTGTATGCCTAACAATCATTAAGCCGACTTTTGCTGCTGTAACTTTTAGAAGCGCGTTGAATGTATCTTCGTTATCGTTTTGTAGTATGCCTTATGTTCTTCCGTACTCAAAGATAAATGTTTATAGATTGTTAATTATAAATAGTTTATCATCGAGGGTTTGTCCGGAATGAAGACTGCTATACACAGTTGTATAATAATATTAATTGCTGTCAATACTGGTATGGTCTTTGGGTCTTGTTATAATTTAATATAGGCGAAATTTATTTGAATAACGGGTTATCATGATTGTTATTTCTTGTTTTTTTTGGCGTCCGTTACTTTGCATACAAATTGGACACTAGTTTCGGTATAGTAAGTGTGTAAGATTGTGTTTTGCTATTTGTTATGGAATGGGCTATTGTGGGTGTCGTAATCCTTTTGCTCTGTGTGTTTTATGATGTTCGTGGTATTCCTCCTCATCGTGGTTCTCCTAGATGTAGGCAATTATTGTTGTGTGGTATGAACAATATAATTCTTCTCCTTTTCCTATGAATTATATTAGCATTCTGTAGTTTTATACCCAGTGGCCAGGCTTGCCACATCAATGGCATGTTAGAAAATTATTTCCTTTTCCTTCTAATTTATTGTAATTTCCTTGGCCTTTATAGCTTTTACTTAATCCATGTCCTTTAGATCCTAAGTAGCCTTTTCCTTTGCTCTTAGTATATCCTCTTTTGCTGTAATTTCCTTTATTATCTTTGTCGAATCCTTTACAATGTCCTTTACTCATGTATTTGCCTTTGCTTTTGCTTCCTTTATAATTACCTTTGCCTTTGTAATTTCTTCCTTTCCTCCATATATTAGTGCAGCTCCTCCATTATAGTTTGTTCCTAGTACTAAAATCGATCTCGTGAAGGCTAAAATCGTCTTGTAATAGTCCAGGATGAGTGCTCTGATCTCGATGTAATTCGTAATCTGTCCAACACGTAGTTGGAGATGTTGTTAAAGTGCTCCTTTGGTCTTGTTAAATAGTGTTGTAATCTTCATTCCATTTAGTAGTGTTCTGCCGCCGTTGTCCTTCTCGTAACGATTGATGTCGTATTCCCATTGTAAGAATTGTTCCTCAAATTATGTTTCATTGAATGTAGATTACAATAATTTGGTGAGGTAACTAATGCTTTTTGTTCTTATTGGTGGATTGCACCCTAACAGATGTTAATAAGAATATAATATAGATCTTTGGAGAAGTTTATTGTTTTGTTTGCTTATGTAGGGTCAAATATATGTGTTCTAATGTCTGTGTCTTCAATCTAGTGTATAGCCACTTGTGCAAGCTGTAGTACTAGGTCGAAGTCTCGATCTATAAGGCCGAGGTATATTTGTAACTTAAATAGCCCTTCTCTGCTCCTGTAGTTTGTTATGCTAAGCTTAATATTGTTTTTTTAAACATATCGTAATAGTTTAGCATATAACTCTTATTATCTTACTACTTACTAGAACTCCCCAATGTTTAGAATCTCAGCTCCGCTACCATTACTACTTTTACATACAAATACAAGTGCTATAATGTTCAAATAAACAAACAACTAATATAATCTACAGCTACAAACCTTTTCATTCATGCAAAGTAGTAAACTCAAAGCCTACGATATATACAACACAAATACAAAAAATAAAACATATAATTTAATATGTTTCATTATTTCTTTCTTTCTCTCTCGTTGTTTTCTCTCTCTCTTTCTCTAATTCTCTCTCTATCCTTTCTCTGTTTTTCGCTTTTTATTTTTCTATATCCCTATGTTTCTCTCTCTTTCTCTCTATCTTTCTTGTTAATTTTCTCTCTCTCTCTCTTTTCTATTTTTTTTCTGTTTCTTTCTCTTTCTTTGTAGTTTTTTCTATTTCTTTCTCGTTTTCTTTCTATTATTTTTTCTATAAAAGGAAAAAAAAAAAGAGGAAAATAACATATCTCTTTCTCTCTTTCTCTCTTTCTCTCTTTCTCTCTTTCTCTCTTTCTCTCTTTCTCTCTTTCTCTCTTTCTCTCTTTCTCTTTTTTTCTCTCTCTCTCTCTCTCTTTATCTCTCTCTCTCTCTCTCTCTCTCTCTCTCTCTCTCTCTCTCTCTCTCTCTCTCTCTCTCTCTCTCTCTCTCTCTCTCTCTCTCTCTCTCTCTCTCTCTCTCTCTCTCTCTCTCTCTCTCTCTCTCTCTCTCTCTCTCTCTCTCTCTCTCTCTCTCTCTCTCTCTCTCTCTCTCTCTCTCTCTCTCTCTCTCTCTCTCTCTCTCTCTCTCTCTCTCTCTCTCTCTCTCTCTCTCTCTCTCTTTCTCTCTCTTTGGTGCCACTTTATCGCCCACAAAATAAGAATCAATTTGCCTAGGTCCTATTAGGGCATCGATTAATCCTTCCCGGGGGCCGAAAGCACCCTTAGAGAGCCATTGCCTCTACCTCGAGCATTTCCGTCAGCAACAATTCCTCCTACTATGAATCTCTTTCTTTCTTTCTTTCTCTCTCTTTCTTTCCTTCTTTCATCTTCTTTTCTATCTCTTTCTTTTTCTTTATCTCTCTCTCTTTTTTCTTTCTCTCTCTCTCTCTCTTTTTCTCTCTCTCTCTCTCTCTTTTTCTCTCTCTTTCTCTTTCTCTCTCTCTCTCTTTCTATCTCTTTCTTTTTCTTTATCTCTCTGTTTTTTCTTTCTCTCTCTCTCTCTCTTTTTCTCTCTCTCTCTCTTTTTCTCTCTCTTTCTCTTTCTCTCTCTCTCTTTTTCTATCTCTTTCTTGTTCTTTATCTCTCTCTTTTTTCTTTCTCTCTCTCTCTTTTTCTCTCTCTTTCTCTCTCTCTCTTTCTCTCTCTCTCTCTCTCTCTCTTTCTCTCTCTCTCTTTCTCCTTTTCTCTTTCCTCTCTCTTTTTTCTCTTTCTCTGCTTTTTTTTCTCTTTCTCTCTTTTTCTGTTTTGTCTCTATTTTATATTTTTTCTTTATGTCGGTTCTTGTTTTTCTCTTTATGTTTCTCATTGTTTCGTTTTGTTCCTTTTGTTTTTATTTTAATCTTTTTATTGTTCCTTCTATCTTTTTCTTGTTCTCTTATTCTCCCTCTCTTTCTTTTTCTCTTTCTTTCTCTTTTTCTTTTTTCTTTGATTTGTTCGATGGAATTAACGGTTTTTCTAATGTCATTAATATATATAGAATAGAATATAGAAAAATTTATTATAATGAATATTGATATATTATTATTATGAAATAATCATATATATAATATATCTCAATTTTCAATATATAATAGTAAATTTAGATAAATATTATATTCGGATATATTAATAATTAATGTTATATATTACATAAAGAAATAATTTCCAATATTTAAAACTAGTATTATTCTAAATTTCCGGATATTCAAAAAACATCCTCGAAAATAAAATAATAATTAAAAATATATATTTATTTTTATATAAATAAAAATGCAAATATATCTTCAAATAAGATCAATATTAATTATCCTTATTATATCTATCTTAATTCTTCCATTTTTTCATAAATATAAATTATTTATATAACAATTATAAAATTTCCAATCACCATATAAATTTGTTTATTTATTATATGACATAATAAACGAATATTCCTAATTCATTCTCCAACCCCATACTCAATCACAACCCCCTATCTCGTTTTCCAATACAATTCAACTTTAAAAATAGAAAAACAATGCAAACAAATTGCTATCACACAATAGCATTTAAAACGAAAAATTAAACCAATAATTTAAATATTATAAAAAACAATCATTCTAAATTCGTTTTAGAATTCATTTTAATATAATCTATTTTTAAACAAGTAAACTTACCCAAACACAAATCTTAAACAAATCAATTACGTTATTTCTTCGCAAATTTGCTATATAACTTCTTCGTGAAAAAACAAAAAATATAAACAAATAATAAAACAAACAAACAAAAACAAACAAAAACAAAAGCAAAAAAAACAAACAAAGACAAATAAGACCAAACAAGACAAACAAAGACCCAAAGACAAACAAACAAAAACAAACAAAGACAAACAGAGACAAACAAAGACAACAAAAACAAACAGAGAAAGACAGAAAAAGACAGAGAAAAAAAGAGAAAAACAGACACAAACAGCAAACAAATAGCAAACAAACAACAGACAAACAAAAACAAACAGAGACAAACAAGTAGAGGCAGCAACAAACAGACAGACAGACAGACAGAAACACACAAACAGACAAACAAAAACACACAAACAAACAAACAGACAGAAACACAAACATACAGACAAACAAACAAAAAGAAACAAACAGACAGAACAGACAGAAACAAACAGACAGAAAGGCAGAAACAAACAGACAAAAAGGCAGACAGACAGACAGGCAGACAGACAGACAGGCAGAGAGACAGAGAGAGAGAGAGAGAGACGCAGAAGAACACAAAGAGACAGAGATACAGAAACACAAAGACACAGAAGGATACAAAGACACAGAGACGCACAAAAACGCAGAGAGGCAGAGAGATAGAGGGAAAGAAAGACAGAGATACAGAGAGACAAAGAGGCAGAGAGAGAGGCAGAGAGACCGAAAGACAGAGAGACAAAGAGGCAAAGAGACAGAGCAACAGAGAGAAAGAAAGAAGGAGAGAAACAGAGAAGATCCGAGAGCTAGGTAGCCGGAAGCGACCCAAAATTTAGGAAGATTTGGCCAGGTTGTGCCGCGAGAACTCTGAGCGAAGATCTGAAGAACCCCCCCAAATTTCGGCAAAATTTCGGGGACTTCCGGGCCGCGCGAAGAGGCAGGAGCTTGCGCCGCGGAAAAAGGACTGGGACGGGCACAGCCGCTCGCCGCAAGCACGACGGCACGACGATTCGGCCGGAGTACCGCTACAACGGCTCTGCGGTGCACGCGAAATGCGACCCCGAGGCCGCACCGGTTTATAGGAGAATAATATAATATATATGTAAATTATATCAAATAATTATCATTAATGTAAATAGAGGTTTTCATGTTTATCATTTCATTAGTTCTTTAGTTTTATTCGTCTTTATTTCATTTACCCGGGCCAGGCTTTCAGCCCTGGAAGATACTTAGCAACCACACGCGGAGCCCATGACTTGGTTTGCCCCTGGAAATGAAGGGAAAGCAGTTGCACGGTCTGGTTCCGAACGCGGTTGAAGTAGGTAGCAGTGCCTGAGCTGTTTAGGCTGAACCTGTAGTAGTTGAAGCCTTGCTTATGATCAAAGTGCGATCTGCCGCTGGTCTCATTGATGGTGTTGCACAATGTCCAATTTCTAGGCACCTTGGGAAGCTCCCCCGCGTTCATAGCTTGCACTTCCGGCCAAGCGTCTGGAAAGTTGTTGGTGGCTACTGCAAAAAGGTACCACAGAGACATGTCACACACGTATGGCTTTCTCTTGCTTTTGTAAAACAGGATTGGAAGATGCTCCTTTTTGTACATCGAGTAGTCAAAGTCCAGCCAGTCTTTCAGAACTCGCCGTCGCAAGTAGCCAGATCCTGCCCATCCCGTCCAAAGCAAGGAGCTAAACGTCTGCGGTTGGTCTTTCGACGGACCAGTCCCTTCGAAACCAATTGCAGAGTCGCAATCCTTGTATTGTGCCCAGAACGTCTCAGTCACGTTTGCCAACACAGCAACGTCGGAATCAGAGAAAAACACCACATCCAAATCGTACAGCTTCATGAACTCATAAAGTACCCAGAAGCGGCGGCTGTTCCAGGTCTCGTATGGCTCCTTGAAGCCCATTTTCCAGTAGTACGTACCGTTATTCTCCGGCGTGGCTTTGCCGGCGAAAAAGGCATCTGAGGCGTTGATCATTTGCCTGGCATCCACAAAAACAATGTTCCCCGCAGAGCCCCGGTCAATCATCTCCGGCACGTCGGTGAGCACAAACAGCCTGTTTGCCTCTGCAGTGGCCTGCATCAGCACGTACTCCCACACAGGCGGCTTGCCGTACCAGATGGTCACGACTGGCACCTCTCTGCCCGTCCACCGTACAGGGCTCACAGGGCTAGGCACAGGGCTAGGCACAGGGCTAGGCGCTCGTGTGGAGGTGGATGTAGTTGCGGGGTTGCCAGGCCAGACTTTCAGCCCTGGAAGATACTTAGCAACCACACGCGGAGCCCATGACTTGGTTTGCCCCTGGAAATGAAGGGAAAGCAGTTGCACGGTCTGGTTCAGAACGCGGTTGAAGTAGGTAGCAGTGCCTGAGCTGTTTAGGCTGAACTTGTAGTAGTTGAAGCCTTGCTTATGATCAAAGTGCGATCTGCCGCTGGTCTCATTGATGGTGTTGCACAATGTCCAATTTCTAGGCACCTTGGGAAGCTCCCCCGCGTTCATAGCCTGCACTTCCGGCCAAGCGTCTGGAAAGTTGTTGGTGGCTACTGCAAAAAGGTACCACAGAGACATGTCACACACGTATGGCTTTCTCTTGCTTTTGTAAAACAGGATTGGAAGATGCTCCTTTTTGTACATCGAGTAGTCAAAGTCCAGCCAGTCTTTCAGAACTCGCCGTCGCAAGTAGCCAGATCCTGCCCATCCCGTCCAAAGCAAGGAGCTAAACGTCTGCGGTTGGTCTTTCGACGGACCAGTCCCTTCGAAACCAATTGCAGAGTCGCAATCCTTGTATTGTGCCCAGAACGTCTCGGTCACGTTTGCCAAAACAGCAACGTCGGAATCAGAGAAAAACACCACATCCAAATCGTACAGCTTCATGAACTCATAAAGTACCCAGAAGCGGCGGCTGTTCCATGTCTCGTATGGCTCCTTGAAGCCCATTTTCCAGTAGTACGTGCCGTTGTTCTCCGGCGTGGCTCCTCCGGCAAAAAAAGCATCTGAGGCTTTGATCATCTTCCTGGCATCCACAAAAACAATGTTCCCCGCAGAGCCCCGGTCAATCATCTCCGGCACGTCGGTGAGCACAAACAGCCTGTTTGCCTCTGCAGTGGCCTGCATCAGCACGTACTCCCACACAGGCGGCTTGCCGTACCAGATGGTCACGACCGGCACCTTCCAGGTTTCTCCAACGCCCTCCCTGCCGAAAACGCGCTTCTTGAAGCGATCCAAAGGTCCTTTACGTGGGACCATTGGGGGAAACCACTCGAAACGTGGATTCTTTCCCCCCCCCCGGGAAAAGTGACCTTTGGCCATTTTGGGAATCTTTGGGAGCCAGGCACATTGACCAGCCCCCCCTTGACCTCTCCCCCCCTTCCCAGCCTCCGACGGCTTCAACTCCTGAGGCTTCCGCGAGGACAAGACCACCTGGTTGAACATCACCCGCTGCCATCTGGGGCCCACCCGCAGGTTCGAGAGGGGTACGGCCACCAAGGCCGCCGCGGCCACCGCCACCACCAGGCCCAGGCATCGCCCCAACGACATGCTTTGGTCGTGGCTAGGCGCGAGCCGGGTGAGTGAGCATGCTACGAGCCTTCTACAGCTCAAATTTGGGCTTGGCACTCGACATAGGGGAACCCGACAATTGGTACTGCAATCCCAAAAACGGCACCTATTAAAAAAAAACAAGACGTTCCCAAAGGGGGATAACTGACAACATTGCGAGCGAGAGAGATGGTTCCAGCTGTATTTCTTAGTCCGATGAAGCCTTCTTTTCAGAAAGCTGCAACAAGTATTGGACTGTTGCAAGTTTCTTAACAGATTGAATGGTTCTCCATTGAACAGAATGGGGATCAACCTGTAAAATTGCTTTTGCTGGGGCGCAAATATGCAATTCACAGCACGGGACTCAGCTGAAGCTTTTGTAGTGATGACAACCTGGACATCCAGATGATGTGTGCTTGAGCCGAGTCACGCATTGCAGCAGGCCAAGAGCAGCAGTCTTGCTACGCGTCGTAAACTCCAGCTCACAGCCAAGGCATTTCGCTTCACGTCTGAGGGTCCTGACACAGGGTGGTCTTGACGCGTTGACGCAAAATAAAGCACCTTGCTCCTGACATGGTGCTGAACCTCCCGCTGTTTGCGGGTAAGGAGAACAGAGAGATGAACGCCTGCCGCGGTTTGCATCCCACCCAGGAAGGGGGGCTAAGAAGAAAAAACCAGAGAGGTCACTTTTGAGCTCTTGTCGTGTGCAAATATGCATGGCCGGTATGTCGTTCTTTCAGTCAACCCAGTTTGGGGCTGCTTTTAAAGGAAAACCAAAGGCAAGCCACTGGTTTGGGGGTGCAAGAGGGGTTTGTTGAATGTTGGCGCAAATTATCGCCAGAAACCACCAAAACATCCAAAACCATTTTCCGGACATGGAACTCGCCAAAGATCCCAAGAGCCAGAAATTTCCAGGGTTACCGAGTTGATTTGGCAGTGGGAACCGCGGGACTCTTCCAGCTGATCCTCCATTCGTCCTGCTGAAAAAAACTGGCAAAGTTTGATCCGGTGCAGCCCCCCACTCATCCAGATCCCCTCTGGTTCAACGTCACACCAGCGTCCACTAAAACCGAAAAACCAAACTGCGAGCCTGGGGTGCCGGTGTTCATATGTATGATCACTAGAACTGATTTTGACATGTTCCCCATGAGGAACAACAGAGTGCGTTCCAAGATTATGGTCAAGAGCGTAATTCCACCCTTCTTGTCTTTCGTGGGTTAGTTGGAACCCCCACCAAAACAACCCAAACAAATCGAAAACCGAAAAACCTAAGGTTTGGGTGCCTGGGAGCCGCCGAGTGATATGGTTCAACCAAGCCCCACACAACCGGCGTTTAGGCACGCGGCGCCTTCTTTTTTTTGCATCGCTTCGCTGCTGGACCTGACCTCAGGCAAGCAGCCGCCAGCTCGGAAGGCGGGAACGGCACCAACCCGCACCGAGAAGCGGTAGAAAACCAGAAGAGAAGTTGCCCGGTGAACTGGAGGTTTCGAAACCTGGTTGTATCTTTCATCTTGCAAAAATACATCCACCAAACCATCACCCTGGGTGGACTCTGCATGAGTTTCGACGGCCGTAATCCGTGCGCGTTTGGAAACCCAGGATTCACAGAAGTGGTGGCTGCTCTCATTCGCTCACCTGCTAAAAGTGTAACGTGGTGTGGTAGAAACTACCACTAACCAGCTCAAAACCTAAAGCGCAAGGAACCGGATGCCTGGGAACCAGAAAGCAAGTACCTGGATCAGTTTTGGGGGAGTTGCACCCCAGAAAAATAACGCAAGGCTTATCCATCCGGGATGTATCTTACGTGCAACAAATTGGAGGGGCCCATCTGGCGGATGTTCCTCTTAGCAGCGCTAAGAGGCAGCAAGGACGGTTTGGCATCGCGCAAAAGCAGCAAGGAAGGGGTCTGCTACCACCAGACCCGGTGAATCCACGGCTGAGCGAACCCCTTGTTCAAACATACCTCCCTTTGGTTTCCCTTCAAAGGGTCATCTGCGAGACCGCACCACTTTGAAACAGTGGGAAGCGGATTTCGTCCAGCCCACAGCAGGGCCTTGTACCATGTAGCACAACGCCTGTGCGCTTTTTTGGGACCGTACAACTTTCAAAAGGCTTTCTTTGAAGTCAGAAAAACCAAAGGCGCGCCAAGCAACCCAGTTGTGGGTCTTCGGATTTGTGGGTCAATCTTCCTCAAGCCAAATCCGCATCCGCAACCCAAACCTGAGGGACAACATTAAGCGCGTTGCGCTTAAAGGGAAACATAGGGACTGGGACCCCCAAGAAAAGTGAAGAGGACAATCGTTGCTGGAATGGAACCCGGGATTTATACTAAGCGCCGCTTTCTTCGGAAGGGGGGGGGTCAAAAATAGGGTAACCCCAAAATGGAACCCGGGAAAATGAAAAGCATTGACGAACCCTGCGGTCTTCTTTTCCTGGTCTAATTTTGACCCATACCCTGGGTATTTCTCAAAGTTCGGGACCCCCCCAGTGGCATCCTTTTGGTTTCCCTTTACCCATCCAACAAGTCGTGTCAGGAAACAAGGGAACCCCTATGGGCGGCAGGAAGCAACCCACAGCTCTGAGGCTCTGAAGGTCAATTCGAGGGATCGGCGTGTAGCAGCCGCTCAAAAGGCACAGCAAAGGCCAGCGGCGCCTGAAAAAAGCGTTCGACGCGGGCGGCGTTTGGTTTGTTGCACCATACGCATCGTGGCGTAGTGGAAGCTACCTCTGAACCAACTAAAACCTAAAAACCTAAAAACCTAAGAGGATGCACTTGGGTCCAAGCCCTGAGATGCTTTTGTAGGCAGTCACAACATCCCCTGCGAAAAGTGTAGCTGTTAGTAAAACTGTCCTGTAAGTTAGCTAACCCTGAATTGGTGGTGAGGTTTGAACCCCAGTTCCTTTTGACACCTGAACGTAACCCTGCAACTTCAAACCACCAAACCAAACCACCAACTAGGGGTAAACCGGAACCCTGGAGCCCCAAAGAACCTTCAGCAGCCCTGCGACTCCGGGAACCAAACAACAGGAGTCCGACTCAAAGTGGCTATGGTGTGGTTGTGCAAGGGAAAACCAACAGACACCGCTTTGCCCGCGTTTCAGGGCCCACGTCCCATCTCAAGGAAGCAGTGCAGCAGCCCTTTTGCTTTGAACGTGCGCTGCATGCTCTAACTGCGCTAGTAGGACAGTGGTGCATCCGGTTGTATCCATCCCAACTGGTGCCCAGCGTGGATTTCTCTGATCTGGCCCATCACTTTGAAGGGGCTTCCCTTGATACCACATGGGTTTGCAAGGGGAAGCCAAAAGCAAACCCGCCATTTTCCTCCTTGACATGGGTTGAAACCCGAAAAAGCACACCAGCCATGTTCTTGGATGAACTTGCATGGGTTCCAGCCATTTCTGGAGACCAAGGAAACCGACCGCAGGGTTGTGGTTGAAATGGACTCCGGAATTCTGTGATACAAAACACGGAACTCCATGAGAGACATTCTCTCCCCCCCAAAAAAGGAGATGGGATTCCAAGGTTATACTGTGGATGGACGCAATCCATTTCGCACCACTTGGACACCATGGTTGCAACCATTGTTTGTTGGTAGTTACGTTGGCATGGATTTCGCAGCCATCCACAGTGCAGTTGGATAAGCCCCCCTCGCACCCCATGGCCCCGAGTGAAACCCACCCGCCACCTCCGCGGGTAAAAACCCCCCGCGCCCCGCGCCCCGCCTGCTCCGAGGCGGGCACGGAGCCCGAGGGCCTACGAGTCCAAAGGGACCGAGGGCCTGAAATCTCAAGCTCTGGGATCCAGAAACTCCTTGGTTTTCTTCGGGGGGAGGGGGGGGAGGGGGGGGAGGGGGTTCCCAATCGAAAATGAGGTTGGAGGGAGGGGGGGGGGAGGGTTGGGCTCCCGATTCCGAGGTACGGAGCCTTTCTCAAGGTTCCAATCCGAAACCGCCGATGACTTCCAGACGGGTTCCTTTGCCAAAGGCTCATGTTCTTTCCAGCGGACAAGCCCATGAGTTCGCCCTTCTCCATGAAATCCGGAAGTGAAGTAAGATCGGGCGGTGAAGAAAGGAGAAGATAAGGGAATCATACTGTGGATGGACAAAATCCTGCACCAGTCAGAAATCTATGAAACCCGATGAATATTGAGACAAACCACCGATGTAGGAATTCGTCTATCCACAGTATGTCATTATCTTCTTCACTCTATCCCATTCCCAACCAAAAGAGAAGACAGGAATCGTGAGATCAAAAGAGAAGATACAAGAGAAATAGACGTGAATATATAAAAAAGCGAGTGTCCATGAGAGATAGAATGCTTCTTGGATGACTATTGAAAAGAAGTGACGGTCCGTCAGGGGTGGCAAACTTAAATGGGAACCGGCAGGACATTGCCAAAATTGGGTACTTCGTTATGAGACAGGCCTCTGTTTTCGGCTAGGCAAGGAAGTGCAGAGCCCCTGTCTCCAGAAATCCCTCCAGATCATCTCGCTCAGGCGCAGGCATGCCCACCACGTACAAGCGGAAGCGGTTGAGGTTGTACACACCCGGTTGCGTGAAGTACCTGTCGCCAGCTCCATGAAACCTCATGAAATACCAGTGGAGGGTTGCAAAATCCATTTCGCACCACGAAATGACACCATGGCTGAAACGATTCTTTGTTGGTATTTACAGGGAAATCACCATTCCAGGGCTTCTTAGGTGGTGCAAAATGGATTTCGCAGCCATCCACAGTATGTTTGCCATAGCCATTCCCGAAGAAGCTCTCACAAACAACTTGGACGAAAGCAGGCTGTTCAACCGAGGCCCGAGTCTCTCCGAGACATTTTCCAAAAACAAGAACATGGATGTGAATCTTCCTTGGGGGTCTTTTGGGACTTTCATTTAAAAATGCCCACCGACTTGGTTCATGGAACCTCATCGTCCCAAAAAAAACGAAGCAATGGAAACTACCACTAAGCACTAAAAGGCCAAAAAGCCAAGGGGAGCCACCAAGAAACATAAAACCCTTCGGTGGCTCGCCGGCCCAGTTTTTCTGGGAGCTCACATCCACAGACCCCCAGAGGTCTGGTCACCTTTTTCTTTCCGCTTCAAGGCATGTGGACGGCTTGTCTGAAAAAAAGGGTCTTGTGGTGTCTGTTGATTTTGAAAGGGCAGCAAAAGGACAAATCCACCATTTTCGGGGGTCTGATTCCGAATTTCTATCAAAGACGAGCCAGCCATTCCTAAGAAAGAACAACCAGGGGTTCTGAACACATGCATTTGTTTGAGGGTACCCCTTTTAGGTTATTCAAAGCCAAACCGCACGCAATCCCCCTGCAATCCTCCGCGTTTTAGCAGTTGGACACCTATTGTTCAAGCCACCTGACTCCCTTTCCGGATTCAGGGAAGTCTGGTCAAAACATATTTTGCGACCAATTAAGGGGCCTCCCCGAGGAAAGGACCTTCACCACGGATGTTCGCTCAATTTGGCCGCGGGTCAACACCAATGGGATCCCATTTCGGTTGATAGGTGAACTCACCACCCATTTTAGGTTACCTATTCTAGTGGTTGGATTGAATCGGTCCCGTTCACTGGGGGCTAACCGATTTGGGCTTTGACCCATAGCCATTTAATCCCCAGCTCGCCAGACCAAACCTCGCAGCGCCGTAACGCGCACGCGTGTACGGTGGCCGTGTGGCTGGTATTGGGCGGCCTCGGCTCTTGCCCAGTCCGGCTAGACTGGGTTTTGCAGATTTGAGAGCTTAGAATAAGTTGGTACCAACTTTTGTTCTTTTCGGATCATGGGCTCCTTGCGCACTAGGTCCTCCAGTAGAGAGCTTAGAATAATTAAGTTGGTACCAACTTGTTTTCTTTTTTGTCTATTTTAGTAGGGGAACCCTCCCAACCAAAAAAGTTGGCGAACGGGCACTACTGGGGGACCTAGTAGAGGTGTCTTTTTGCGGAACAAACATGGCGTTCATGAACGGCCAAATGTGTTGTCGTCCTTTTTGCACATCCATATGTACACATATATTGTGGAGAGAACGCACCTTTCCACAATCGGAATCAAACAGCAATTACATTCCTAGAAGTCTTAGCATGTGTTGCGTCTAGTGCATTCCTCTTATGTCTGAACAAATTGAACAAACTGGCGAGAAAGCTTGCACAATAGTCGAGAGATCACTTGCATGGCGGCTTGTGTGCCGGCGGGGGATTCAGACCACCTTTGGAGGCGAACCCCCCCCATTTAAATAAACAGGTTGGTTGATTCATACGGGGGCAACATTCACAGCTACGCGCTGCCCTCGAAAGCTTTGTAAGGGCTCATGGGCCTAGGCCCCAAAGAGGCACACCAAGGTCGCTCCAAAGACGCGAGGAGCGACCTACCTGGAGCAACCACCAGGCCCCCCCCCCCACCCCTGAAGGCCCGCGCAGGCGGATGACCTCCGACCGCTCGCAGCCGACCCAGGCGATGTCCGCCGTGGATTCCTCGGGCGTTTTCGCGAGTCTTCGCAGCTGGTCGTTTGTTTTCTTTCTTTTTTTTCCTCTTTTCTGGGGGGGGGGGTTGTGGTTGGGTTTCAAAGGAAAACCCAAATTTGAAACCAACTATTTTGGCTGGTTTTGGTCCCGTTTGGTTGTGTCTCGAAGGGAAATGAACATGAAACCACACATTTTGGCCGGGTTTTGTGGGCTTTTTGTGTTGGGGTTCAACAAACAGAATCCTTACCCTAGCCCAAGACCTTCTTTTTTTTGGGGGGGGGGGGGTGTGAGAGGCCCTGATTTTTTTTCGGATCTTGGGCTCCTTGGGCTGGCTATGTTCACGAGGTCCTCCAGATTTGAGAGGTTGGAAGAAGCGTACCGTTTCTTTTTTCTGTCGTCGATGTTAGTAGGGGAAAACCATCCCCAAAAAAAAGTTGGCAGAAGGGCACTACTGGGGGACCCAGTACAGGTGTCTACTCCAAAAGTTGGCAAACGGGCACCCTCCCCCCAAAAAAATATGGGGGTGAGAAAGGGCACCAATTTCTGGGGGACCTTGTTCTACTACTTTGATTCCATGGTGGTTCCACAACCGCGGGTTCGTTTCGTTGGGTCAGGGTGCTAAGACCTGGCAACGGAGGGGTCCCATCTTTAAGGGAAAGTAAACGCAGGTCGTTGCTCTTTTTCTCCAGGGGTTCCAACCAGAGGGTTCCTTTTGGCTTCCCCTGAGCCAAGGTAGAGACATGGCCTCAACAAAATACAAATACCACATGCTGAAACATGCCGGAAACATCCCCGGTTTAAACGACCTCCTGTTGGTTTCCCTGTAAAGGGGGTTGGTGGGTTGATGGTTTCGGCAGCCTGAATCTGACTTGACCCGACAAAAAAAAGCCCCAGAAGACTGGGACGATGCTCTCCCGAGCTTGGCAGTTACAACAAATTCAAGCCGCCCCCTCGCCTGCTCCTTCCCAATTGGCTATGGGTCAAAACTCCGTACCCCCAGTGAGCATCCCAATCCCGACTAAAATAAAGCCTAAAATGGGTGGTGCATTCACCTACCGCCCAAATGGTACCAATGGGCGAGAAGCCTCGCCCCTCATCCTGGCAAGGTGACCCTCACGCCACAAGCTGCTACGCCTGAAAGCAGAGACGGGAGATCCAAGAGCTCAAAGCAGCAAACAGTGACTGAACAAAGCAGCAACTTGGCTATCTTCTGTCAGCCCTTCATGCAACGGCCATTTCCGCATGAGTTCCTAACTATGGACCCTTGGCGGACGTCAAATTTAAATGGATATTGATGTCCATGAGGCTCTTCCCCGCCGGTTCTTTCATAACAATGTCCATCGCAGGTAAGAGCAGGACAACAAACTTGGGTTGTGCACTGGACGCTGATGGAAGGTTTTGAGCACTTCAAAACCGCTCGCACACAAAACACCATTGATCAGCTGTAATCCTTCCCAGCACTTTCCCTTGTTTTCGCTTCCAAGCTACAGTCGATGTTCAATCCGTTCCTCCTCAATCTCTCCTGGAAGAAACCAACGCACAAAAGCAATGCGGCGGGCCCTTTAGGCTCACTTTCCAAGCCTCGGTATCTTAGCAAACAACTTTGCTCATCGCAGCCCGAGCCAAAGCAAAAACAACTCGAAACAAAAAGCAAAACACCGCAAGAACGAAGCAACCAGACCCATTGAGCCGAATCGGAACCTTATCAGCAAATTGGGCGGTCTGTTTAAGGGGACCCCCCCCCGCAAATGGCGTCAGCTGCCTTTTGGTTTCCCCTTAAAGCCACCAAAAGGAGGGTACCACAAACAACACACACACACACACACGACAGACCCGACCGACTGGGGCGCCCGGGCAGCCACAAAGTAGAAGGACACCGCCCCCGCCAAGGACCTGCCGACTGCAAAGAGGATGGCTCAGGCTTTCAGCTCGGGGAGAACAAGACATATGGCTCGGCAAGCTCGACCCAGACGGTTGCTTTCTGCTCCCCTGCTAAAAGTGTTCTTCACTTTTAGTGGTTGAATACGGAAATCCCCATGAGTTGGATCAAAAAGTGTCCTAACGTCCTAACATCCCTTGGCGACATTCACCAAAGGAATGGCCTGGGTGTTCCGTTTGACTTCCCTTTGAACCGAGCAAAGAGTGGGCTTCAAATAGCCGAAGATCAAGAGCTCGAGAGAAGTGACGTGGTGGGGTTTCCTGGATCCCAACAAAAAACGGGCCAGGCGACTCTGTTTTCACATGGTCCAAGCCAGAGCCCAACACCCGGTTTCCGACTTTGATAGCACAGACATGGGCCGTGGTATCCCCCCCCTCCCCCCCTTTTTGTATTTTGGGCGTGTGTCCCCTCCGGGTTTCCCTTTCAACCCTCCCCCCGAAAATCAAACAAATGGCCATGGGTCAAAAGCCAAATCGTACCCCCAGTGAATGGGACCGATTCAATCCAACCACTCAAATAGGGAACCTAAAATGGGTGGTGAATTCACCTACCCACCAAAATGGGATCCCATGGTTGCTTTCTGCTCCCCTGCTAAAAGTGTTCTTGGGCGGTGAATTCACCTACCCACCAAAAAGGGAAATCGCAAAAAACGGCTTTGACCACAGCCAAACCACCGAAATCCACGCCCGTCGGTGGGTTGGCCACGCGTGGTCGCTCGCTGGGCTCCCGCGCGCGTTGCGGATCCGGACCGTCACCGGCACCATGGTGTCGGGCGCCTGGTCGACTAAAGCGTGGCCCGATGGTCCGTCCTGTTGATGTCCCTTGAAGCTCAAGAAGACTACCCTTTGTCCAACAATCATGGAAGTGGGCAAAGGGGTGGCCCAAAAGGAAATAGTCTTCCAAAACCCTCCTGTCAGCTTCCATGATTGTTGGAGGGAGGGTACTTTCAAAAAAACACGGGCCCATCTCAGTACCTCGGAAGGGTTGCCCTAAGTGATTTTCTTCATGTGGGGTCAACATTAAACTGCTCCCCTCAGAAGACCCGCCCTAAGTCAGCTGGGAAAGGTGATTTGTTCATGTTGACCCCGCAATAATCAACCCCAGTGGATTCATGGGGGGGTGGGGACCCCTCCAAAAGTGATCTGATTTCAACCAGGTTTCACCCGGGGAAAAGCACCCCCTACAATAAGCAGGTTGGTTGATTCATGCGGGGTCAACATTGAATCCTCCATTAGAGAGCTCAGAATAAGGGCACCAACTTTTTTCAGGACGTCTATTTTAGTAGGGGAAAACCCTCCCCCCAAAAAAAGTTGGTCAAAAGGGCACCAATCGCTGGGGGACCTGACCTAGTCCAGGTCCGGCTCAAGCCAAGTCCGCCCAGCGTAAAGAACCGGCGCCTCCGCCACCTCCGGCGCGAGCAGGTGCAAGTCCAGCGGGCAGGGGGGAGCCTCTGGGCCTCGAAAACGTCGAGAACTTCGAACCACGCGTTGAGGGGCGCATCTCTACTTGCGTACTTGGTGTGATCAATGAGGGGATCCCAAATCCAAAATCAGGAAACAAAGACGACCACTGCGAAAGGGTAGCCTCACCCTCAAAACGCTGCAAAAGGGTAGCCTCAAAAAGTAGGTTTGTTGGCCCTGAGCTCAGCCCCTGGACAATAATAAAAACCAACTGCTTCACTCGGCTTCCCCTTTTCAACGGGGCCAGGAACCGACTCATTCTGCTTTCTCAGCCATCAAAAAGGGGCTCCTAACCTGGAGACGGACCCATGTGTCATAGGACAATTCGGACTCCGAAACGGGGCTCGGTGGGATTTATTTTGGTTTCCCATGCGTGGAAATGTGGTGTGGCGTCTACTTGCCGGTGCTCAGCAGGGAATGAGGGAATGAACCTGGAGATTCCCAAAAAGGAAACCATAGGGGATGGTGATAGGGGTCATTCCCTCATTCCCTGCTGAGCACCAGCAAGAAGATTCTCTAATTCAACCCTTATCGCCCCAAGGATGACTAACGTCTTTCCAACAACAAACCACACATTTCAGAGGGGGGCCGGGGGGGGGGGGGGGTGACCCTACTTTGAGACCATACCCATCTCAGCACGCGTTGCGCCAAGTTTGGGCACTACTTGACACAGCTGTGTCTCAAAATAAGTGGACAAAAAAGCAAGGGGTTCCGCTCAGTCCCCCGCAAAAACCCACCCTTGCTTCCATTTGCAGCAAATGGAAGCTTGGGCTTCCAAGAACGGCTTTACCCCTCAGTGAACGCTGATGCCTTAGACCTCCCAAGTGCTTGCATGTGAGGCAGTTCTTCAGGTGGAGTGAGATGGTGTCACATGTGCCCTGGTCAAAACCTTTTCTTTTTTTTGCCTATGGTCTACCAGGTGGATGGCCATCCTTAACCCCAAGCAAAGGGGTCTTTGGGCTATAGCCAGCTTTCATCAGGCTCTGAGGCTCTGCCTTTAAACGCCTTGTTACAAACGACCAGAGCCTCGCCGCATTTCAGACAAAAGCTGATACACAAACGAAGTTGCACACTGAGGACACTTGTCTCAGCACCTCTGCCGCCCCGAAACTTGAAACACCGGGCCAAAGCGGTTGAAACCAGAAAGGCACCAAAAGCAGACCAAACAATACTAAACATCACCAGAACCCCCCCCCCCCTCCCAAAAAAGAAGCAAACAAACAGAACACCCAAAACAACCAAACGGTGAAGAAGACGAGCCCCGCCGGGGCCGGCCTTTTTAGCGGCCCCTCGACCCCGCCCGACGAACATGCGCCGCTGTCCCGACGCCCCCCGTTGATCCAAGAGGCGCTCCAGCGGCACCTGCAGCGCGCAGGCCTGCCAGTCGCAAGCCCGCCGCGCGCCCGGCGCTTCTTCTCTTTTTTTGTTTGGCGGTTGGACCCCCCCAAATATGTAGATATTTATATATCTATATATATATATATATATTTAGAAGGGCGGTGTTCGGTGTCCCCCCCAAAAGAAAGACACCAAACACTAGACGTATATTGTATTTTTGCCGTCATGTTATGAAGAAAGAAGGAAAGGTAGTTCATAGGGGGGGGGGGGGGCTGACTACAAATGTATATATATATATAATTATACATATATTAGGAAGGGCGGTGTTGTGAAAAAACACGTCTGGCTTCCAAGCAAAATCGGGGGGTCGCCTCAAGAAAAGGACCCACACACAAACGGCGGACCTTTTTCAAAGCTTGGTCTTTGAAGCAACCGCTTAAAGACTCATGTGGGGCGTCCAACACACTGTGGATGGACGAAATCCATTTCGCACCACCCAAGAAACCCTAGAATGATAATTCCCCAACGTCAATACCAACGAACGTTATGGTTTGAACCATGGTTTCAGTTTGTGGTGCGAATTGGATTTCGATTTCAACCATCCACAGTACGTCCGACCGAAAAAAAAAACGGGAGCCCTTGCGGGGGCCAAGCTTCCGGATCCAAGTGGATTCGATGGCCCCGATGCGAGACGCGCTGAAACGAAAATTTCCGGGCGCAAGCGACGCGGGAAATGGGGCGGTACCTCTTCGATAGAAGAAACCCCTGGAAAAATGCTTAAACAGAAAATGGAGCTGGGAATCTGATAGAACATGTTACCTCTTGGTGGTTCCATTCGAGCAAAGAGCTCTTCACCTGGGAGAAGTCGTCTGAACCTCCGATTCTGAGCTACAGACAGGGAACATGCCGCTGGGTGGGGAAAAATCCGACCTTCCAGCCTTTGCAGCGGACTTTTGTGCCCAGATGCAGCAGGAAAGTGATGAACAGGTGCCACCTAAAGGGGTCTTTTTGTTTTTGGCGAAAACCCAAAAAAAACACGTCGAGCCCTTTGTGGTGCTGCAACAGCCTCGCCCCTCGTGGTGCTCACAACAGCGATTTTGATTGGATGGCCCAAAGCCTGCCAGAAGAAGTGGGTTTTCAGGTACTCGACCTCTAAAAGATTGGGCTTTTGGACCTTCCCCGCAAGGCTTTTTCGCCATTTTTTGCCAAGCCCCCCCCAGCCCCGGCGCTTTCATGTTGGTCCGGTCCCATTCCATTTGAGCCACTTGCTCAAAACCCGCGTAGATGAAGGTTAGTAAGGGGCAGTCCCAGCCAGAAATAGTTGCGGCCGCCTTCTTAATTCTTGAAGCACGGTTCTGGGTAGACCATTTCAATACCGGGTTTTGATTGTGACTCATTTGGACTGCAAGGAAAGCTGTTTGCGCCCAAGCCCCAAAGCCCCCAAGCCCAAGCCAAGGTCTTCACTTGCCTCGACCCAAAACACCTAGGTTTCCCCTCAAAGGAAGGGGGATGGGTGATATTTTCTGAGATCTTGACCCCAACACCGGCTGAATGACATGGCTCTTAACGTACCTCCCGACGTGAATTCGATACTTCCACTTTTTGCACAAGGCAAGGTAACGGGTCCTTCCGCTTAACTTGGTTGCTGCTGACCCCCTCTGCAAAAAATGAATAGCTTATTGTGGCGTGGGAAATCCATTGTTTCCCAAGTGAAAGTCCAAAGATCCGTTATCAAATCCTGGACCTTTAAAGGACCCCCTTTTTTCTGCCTTGCCGCCTTTTGTATGGGCCATTCGGCAGAAAAAAAAAAGGAATCGGGTCCATTCGAAGTCCAGGTGGCCATAAAGTGAAGTGCTGATTCTTGGTCGCTGTTGACTTCCCCGCAAAAAGTTTCCACTGTTGGGTGGTGTAGTGGAAAACCCAACTTGATTTCAACCAAAAGTGAAAGAGTCTAAAGATCCAACCCAATAGCAGTCAAGAGACACGACCTATGTGGCTCCAAAATAGTGGCACAAACCCCCAAAAACAGTGGCTTTCCTGTTGGGAACCGCGAGGTAAACAGGGTGCCCTCCAACAAAAAAACACTCACTTCTTCAAATGAAGGGGCACTCAACTTGGCTTCCCCCCGGTCTTTCCCATCCTTCCGCTCCGTCCGCCTCGCCGACCACCCCACTGCAGTGCCACTGCGCCACCAAATCCACCGAAGGGGCGTCCCGACCTGGGAGCGTCTTGCCTAGCGGACATGTGTGTAGAGGTGTGTATATGTATCTGGATGTGTATATATGTATGTGTGTATGTGTGTCTGTCTGTATGTCTGCATGTCTGTATGTCTGTATGTCTGTTTGTCTGTATGTCTCTTTGTCTGTATGTCTGCATGTCTGTACGTCTGTATTCTGTATGTCTGTATGTCTGTTTGTCTGTATGTCTGTATGTCTGCACGTCTGTATGTCTGTGTGTCTGGATGTCTGTGTGTCTGTGTGTCTGTATGTCTGTTTGTCTGTACGCTGTATGCCTGTATGTCTGCACGTCTGTATGTCTGCATGTCTGTATGTCTGTATGTCTGTTTGTCTGTATGTCTCTTTGTCTGTATGTCTGCATGTCTGTACGTCTGTATTCTGTATTCTGTATGTCTGTATGTCTGTTTGTCTGTATGTCTGCATGTCTGCATGTCTGTACGTCTGTATTCTGTATGTCTGTATGTCTGTTTGTCTGCATGTCTCTTTGTCTGTATGTCTGCATGTCTGTACGTCTGTATTCTGTATGTCTGTATGTCTGTTTGTCTGTATGTCTGTATGTCTGCACGTCTGTATGTCTGTCTGTATGTCTGTGTGTCTGTGTGTCTGTGTGTCTGTTTGTCTGTACGCTGTATGCCTGTATGTCTGTATGTCTGTATGTCTGCATGTCTGTATGTCTACATGTCTGTATGTCTGTACGCTGTATGTCTGCATGTCTGTATGTCTGTATGTATGTCTGCATGTCTGTATGTCTGTTTGTCTGTATGCCTGTATGTCTGTATGTCTGTATGTCTGTACATGTCTGTATGTCTGTATGTCTGTGTGTCTGCATGTCTGTATGTCTGTATGTCTGTTTGTCTGTATGTCTCTTTGTCTGTATGTCTGCATGTCTGTACGTCTGTATTCTGTATTCTGTATGTCTGTATGTCTGTATGTCTGCATGTCTGCATGTCTGTACGTCTGTATTCTGTATGTCTGTGTGTCTGTGTGTCTGTGTGTCTGTGTGTCTGTGTGTCGTTGTGTCTGTGTATCTGCGTGTCTGTGTGTGTGTCTGTGTCTGCGTATCTGTGTGTGTCTGTGTGTCTATGTCTCTGTGTGTCTGTTTGTCTGTATGTCTGCATGTCTGTATGTCTGAATGTCTGTACGTCTGAATGTCTGTACGTCTGCATGTCTGTATGTGTGTCTGTGTGTCTGTATGTCTGTCTGTGTGTCTGTGTGTCTCTGTGTCTGTGTGTCTGTGTGTCTGTATGTCTGTCTGTCTGTCTGTCTGTCTGTCTGTCTGTCTGTCTGTCTGTCTGTCTGTCTGTCTGTCTGTCTGTCTGTCTGTCTGTCTGTCTGTTTGTCTGTGTGTCTGTGTGTGTAGATGCATGCATCCTGCCTATTCTATACATACATACGTGTATAGTAATATATATATATATATATATTTATATGTATAAACGAAACAAGAAGAAACAAATACAGGCGCCTACACCTTTTAGAGTTCCAGCTGGGTATATAACAGTCACTAGGTGCGTCTGGTGTTCTTGGTGTCAGCTTCAACCATTGCAGGTGAGCTGTTTGAGATCACGCTTTGAATGGTCCGCTGTGCCTGACAAGTTGAGTCGAGAGTCTTTACACCAGTCGAGAGTTTTTTCCCTCTAATTGGTGGTTTCGATGTTTCGATGGTTTAATGGTTAAGGGGTGGTTCCCCCCAAAAATCCTCTACAAGAACCGGCATTCCCAGATGGAGTCGTAAGGAGCACCCGGCTGTCTTTCCGAGAGAAACTCAGAGGCTTTTATCCCCACTTTGACTCCCTGGCTTCCTGCGCGAGCTCTCAATGGACAGCTTCGGACAGCTTCCCGGAAATCGCCCATCGCCTCCTTTCACACTCGGATATGACTCAGTGCTCATGTGGAGCCGTTGCAGCCCAAAAATCTCTGAATCCATATGAGTGTGCGTGTCTGTTTTCGGGGACCCCCATAAAATGGTGTTTTTCTCCTTGTGGTGTCCCTTTGAAAACCATATTGGAGATTACCCCCATGTCATAATCAAAACCCCCCAAACTTATGGTACACAGAAAGGGGCGGATCCCATTTCTGTCAGGACTGTGCCTGATTCTAGGCTTCATCTACCAAGGCTGTGATCGTGGAATCGTTTAATATCCCTGTGCGGCTATCGACCCGTGCGCAAAAAGTCTCAAGTAAGATAAGATACAAAAATAATCCCCAACAAGTGCAAGTTTAAAGATCCGACCTCATGTTGACCCCGGAGTAACAAACCCTTGTTTATTAATATGGGGGTGTCCCTGGTGTTAGTGAGGATTTATCACTTTTGGAGGGGAACACCCCCATATTCATCAAGAGGGGTTTATTAATCCGGGGTCACCGCTACATGCAGGTGTTTTGCTTTTAAGCACCAGCTCCGCGTGTAAGCCCTGTCGGTGGCGGTGGCTGGATCATCTCTGATGTCCTTCCTGCATTGTCTCTCTTCACCATCTTCATTCCTCCAGCATTTCATGGTGTACCATAGTGATTAGACAAGAGATAAGATATGCAAATGAACAGATTCTGAGAAGGCCATGGAAGACTGGCTTTGTCCTGTCTCTCCTGCAAATGAATCCTGGCTTATTCGGCTTCCCTCCAATTGGTGGTTGGATGGGTGGTTTGGTGGTGGAGGACCTCAAACCACCGGGATCCAAACCACCATGGAGAAACAGGGGGGGGATCCCTTGACAAATCCCCAGTCGACATTGATGACTTGGTTCGAATCTCTCCTGCAAACGAACCCTTGATTTCTTTTACTCGCCTACCCCCCCCAAAAAAAAAAGGACATAATCTCTCCTGCAGATGAACCCTAGCTTTTTGCTCACCTCCCCCCAAACAAAAAACACAAAGAAATAATCTCTCCTACAGATGAACCCTTGCTTTTTGCTCACCTCCCCCCTCCCAAAAAAAAAGCAAAGAAATAATCTCTCCTGCAGATGAACCCTTGCTGTTTGCTCTCCTCCCCCCGCCCCCCCCCCCCCCACCCCCCAAAAAAAAACACTCCTGCAGATGAACCCTTGCTTTTTTGCTCACCTCCCCCCGCCCACCCCCCCCAAAAAAAAAGAAAGAAAAAGTAAAAACAAATATCTCCTGCAGATGAACCCTTGCTTTTTGCTCCCCCCAAAAATACTCCCCCCCCCCCAAAAAAAAAGAACAAAAAGAAAGAACCAAGCAAAAACTGCCCTAGGAAAAAACAACACCGGATCTCTACCCCTCCCCCCCCAAAAAAAAGAAGAAAAGAGACTCCACTACCTGGGCGCCGCGCGGGAGGCGTCGCGCCGCCGGCTCGGCGGCGCCGCCGCCGGGCGGCTCGCCAGGAGCATCCGCGACCTGGCCCAAGCTACGAATCGCGGCGTAGCGGGGCGAAGCGGTGAATCCGAAGCGGTGAACCCTGATCTCCTACCTCTGGCTCCATTCTTCTGCCAGCATCAAATTTACCCCAAGTAGGTGAACGGGGCTCACAAGGGCGATAATTTCTGGGTTGCGAGGCCCCTTGAGCCCGAAGCAGTTCAAGATTATCTCCTAGGTCCTCCAGTAGAGAGGTTAGAATATGAATCAGGGTGCCCAATATATTCTGGACGTCTATTTTAGTGGGGGAACCCTCCCCCAAAAAGGGGCCTAGATTCGGATCTCCTACCTCGCCCTGGGAAATGGGCCAAAATGTTGGGGAAAACCTGCCTCTGGAAAGCACCATGGAACCTCTGGCGCCCAGTGGTGGAAAGAAAGGGGGCGCCCTATGTCGGGTAGCTTCTGAACGGAACCTCCAAAGAAAAGCGCAAAGCAGATCGGAAGCACCCTCGACTTGCCAGTGCGAGTAGGGAATGAGGGAATGAACCCAGTCCCCTGAAACGAAACCCTCAGTTGGATGGTTTGTAGGGGCCATTCCCTCATTCCCTGCTGAGCGCCAGCGAGACAAGCAACCACGAGCCTCTATTAGTTGCTATTAGCCCCTATTGGAATTGGGGGGGGGCCCTATTGGGGGTGTGGAAGCTGATGGGAGGCTTTTGTTTTGGTCTTGCAGGTTCGGCAGGGAGCGAGAAATAGAATGACCCCGAGGTTGGTTTCCCCAGGTTCATTCCCAAAATCCCAAAACCCGGATGCTGCTGAAAAGGTGATCCCCCCCCCCCTTCCACCCCTTCCCCCCCTTGCCCCCCTTCCCCCCCCCCGTCCTCCCGGTCCCCCCGTCCCCCGGTTCGTTCGCCTGGCCGAGCTGCACTCCGCCGCCGGCTCCTGGGGGTGCAGCGAGTACAGCAGCTGGGCCTCGGCTCGCTCGGAGCTCTCGGCTCGGAGCTCTCGGGGGGCTGGTCCTTGGTTTGGGTTCCCCTTTTTGGTATGCGAGGTCCTCCAGTAGGTTGAGGTTAGAATAAGTTGGTACCCACTTCTTTCAGTTTCGCCAGTGTTAGTAGGGGACATCTCGCCCAAAAAAAGGGCAAAAGGGCACTACTGGGGGACCTTTTGGATACCTGGAGTCTCCTTCCAACCCTTTGAAAATGCTTGGTCATTGCCATAAGTAATGGGGTCATGGACCTATTTGTCAAGGGTCATGGAGACTCCAGGTGTGTTTAAAGGAAGCCAACATAATGCTGCTTCTTCTTCTCGTTTTCTTTTCTTTTTTTTTGGGGGGGGGGGGGCGGGGGTCGGAGGTTTGGCTTTGGAGGATTCCATTGGTGGTTTGAGGGGCACATCGTTGTGGGCTTATGCCACATCTGTGTATGTGTCAGAACTCAAGAGATTCTGGGGGGGCCCCCAAGCCCGTTGGCTTTAGTTCGTGGTTTGGATTGGTGGCCGGTGGTTTGGGGATTTGAAGCCCTGGTTCTTGTACAAGGTAAACGAGAAACTATCCGCAACCACCAAACCACCAATCCCAAGCACCAATTAGAGGGAAGCTGACGGGGAATTCACCCCACAAGTAGTTTTTGCACAGTTTTTGAGCCTTGCCCGCTTGATCACAAGTCGGCAGCCAGAAAGCAAAACATCAATCACCCAAAGACTTGTTGCGGTGCTTGTTGGAAACGGGGTAAACAACCCGTCACCAACAAATGCCCTAAACCCGTCCAGCAACCCTAAACTAACCCCAGAACCCGAAACCAAAAGGCTCGGCAAGTACACTTGCCTTGTCATGACTAGGTCCTCCAGATTTGCGAGGTTAGAATAAGTTGGTACCCACTGTTGTCTATTTTAGTAGGGGAACCCTCCCAACCAAAAAAGGGGCTAAAAAAGGGCACCTAGCTGGGGGAGCTAGATGACACTCGCTGGCTTGAAACGGTCCCCCCCGCCCCCCCCGCCGATACATCGAACCGACGGGGGCCCCAGCACTTTGGCCCGGCTGCAACACCTGCTGACGGCCTGCGAGTCTGCGAGTGAGGCGCGTCGAAAACCGTAAAACCAACCTCATCTTGGCTACTGCAACGACCCCCCTGCAAAAAGTTGTTCACTGTTTGGAGAGTTAGTGGAAAACCCAACTTGATTTCAACCCAAAAGTTAAAGTCTAAAGATCCAATTCAACAGCAGTCAAGCAATGGCCCAACTAACCGGGGCCTATGGTTGTTTTTTCTTCCTTACAGGATGGCTATGTTTGTCTTCCTTACTGAGGGGGAGCTTTCTTGGGGGTGCACCAAAGGGGATGTCTGATGTCACTGTGGTCATGTGAAGCCTGTGATACCAAGAAAGGGAACATTCCCCATGACATCTCTTGTGCGGATCAGACTCCCCATGACTTCCAAGTCAAACTGCTCCAGCCCTACCTCCCCGCGCGATGCTTCCTAATTTCCCGACCCCCTTTCTTGGTGCTTTACATGGCTGTGGTTGTCAACACCAACGAGATCCCATTTTGGGGTAGGTGAACTCACCACCCATTTTAGAACCTACTTTGGTGGGGATTGAATCGGATGTTCACTGGGGCTACGATTTGGAGTTTGACCCATGGCCAGAACCGCGCCTGGTCCACAACTCCTGAGATCCAGCAGGCCCTTGGAGAAGCACTGCATGCCATCCACCTGGAGCGATTTCCAATCCTCACCCGGAAGGAACAAACAAAAACATTCGCGCCCTTCCGCGGCAAAAACAAAAACCCAAGGACACTTCTGAAAACAACATTTCGACCTATAGCAACCCAACCGCTGGATTTTCGACCCTGATCTCGGGGTTTGGAGTTTCCCATACGGGTTTGAAAAACCATGGTCGGCGATTCCATCCGATGACTCTGTCACGGCGGGGCGGGGTTTGCGGGTCTTGAGCCCGCCTGTTGTATATCTTGTGAGGATTAAACAACCACTAAAACAATTCAGGGTCTGGAACCGCCATTGTCTGAGGATTGTCATCATCCAAATTGGTTCAACCATCTCCTTTTTAATCCTAACATCAAGCTGACCGGTGCACGCTGTTGAATCGGTCCCAAGTGGCTCCTAAGCCGCCTAAATGGGCAGCCAAAGAGCCAAAGGCCTTCAGACCATTGCCCCATCCGCTTCGGTTGACTTGGGAATTCCTGCGGATGGGAAGACATGTGGCGAGAACAAACCAAAAACGACCTTGCGCAGTTCATCCGGGCTTTGCCGCAAACCGCCACTGCCACGCTGACTTCTTGGACGTTCCAAAGCTGGTTCTGCCTCCCAATATTGGCATATATTGGCATATATATAATTACCTATTCCAGAAACATATCCCGACTCGGACGTATCTTCCCTCCAGCGTCACATTCGTGCTTTGGCGTTGCCACGGCCACCCAGAAAAAACATCGCCATCTCCCCCAAAAGCTTCATGCGGCCAAAAAAAGGGGGACCAAAAAAAAACGAGGAAAAACACCTGGCAATCCTGCAACGACCCGCGGCCCACGGGCAAACAAAAAAAAACAAGCCGCTTCGGCGTTCCACCGGGGGAAGGACTTGATGCGGACGCGAGAAGTCTCCGAACTTTTTGGGGCCTCGAGGTCCTGAGAGCCGCGGTTCTCCACCAGACAGGTGAACACGATGCGGCCTTGCGGCGCTTCGGCGCTGCGGCGGCACGGGATGGCACGGGCGGGGCGCAGGTGTCTGGGCCAAAAAGTCGGTGGCGACATCTGCGAAGCCCGGCTAAAAAGGTGAGCTAACTTTTAGAGGATTTGTTTTTCTTCGGAAAATCCAGTCCTGGGCGAGTGGCAAAAAGTTAAAGTCCCAACATCCAAGCAAGATGAACCAAAGAAAAAGTCGCGAGCAACTCCCTTGCCTAGGTCCCGCAGTAGTGCCCTTTCTCACCCCTTTTTGGTTGGGAGGGTTCCCCTACTAAAATGGACGTCCTGAAACAAGTGGGTACACTTATTCTAACCTCTCTACTGGAGGACCTAGTTGCGCTAAATGTTCACAACCTGCGCGCTTGTGTTGTTGGAAACAAGTCGCGAGCAGTCCAACTCAGCGCATACCTGTGGCATCTTCAAATCGTTTTTCTCAGTGTTTGGGGCCGGGAAGTGTGTGAATGTTTGGTTTCACAAGCTAGGGTTCAGATCCCCCAATTTGTACCATACATACCAATTTGTTCTGCGGGGTCTGGAACATAAAGCAAACGCATGCGTCCGTCTTGCGCTTTTCGTCAGGGTGCACAAAACCAGCTAAGTTGCCAAACTGCCAACAAAAAGACAGGGAAATCCGCAGAATTACGGCGATGGATGGTTCTGAATTTCTTCATCCGGGGTTCCCAGTGAAAAAAAAAAAACACAACACTGAATGTTTGACGGTTTTGCATGGAACCAAGGCTGCATTGATGCAGAAAACGCCACAAGACACGTGGTTTTTCACGCGTGTTGGAAGGTTTGGAAAAAAACGTTTTACAAAACAAACACTATTTTTGGTGGTTTGTCGCGGGAGTAAGCTGAGTTCCGGGTGGCCGGCTGTTTCGCGTAGCGTTTAAACGTGTGTGTGTGTGTGGCGGTTTTTGGGGGACCCCCCAACAAAAAAGTGGTTTCCTCGTGTTTTCCCTTGAAAGCTGCAAAACAAAACGGGTACCCACAAAAACAGACCAAACCATGTCCTGATCCCTGGTATATTTCTGCTACTTTGACATCTTCTCCGACAGGGCCCGAGTTGGAGCCCGAGGCCCCAGCCTTCAGCGCTGTAGGAGGGACTGGGCCGGGCAGTCATGGACAAAGCTGGCTCCACCAGGAGGCTCTCCTGAAAAATCCGAAGATATTTGCGACATCTTGGGCTGTCCGTTTTTTCTGATCTCCTGCTGAGAAAAAAAAAACAAAAACTTTAGCGGGTGAAATAGAAACCCCACGAAACCAACTGAACAACTAAAAAGCTAAGGGGATGGCTAGGAACCGCCAAGGTACGTGAAGATCCAGGAGCTAGATGGGGGTCTTTGTTTTGGAAAGCCCCTTTTGGGTAGCTTTCACGGGAGCCGAAAGGAAGCCGTTGCCAGTTTGGGGTCGCCGGATTTTCAGACCCGGATGATTACACATCAGTTTCTTGTTACCCAGAGGCTCCTGGTCCTTCATTGGACGCCCCGGAGGTGTTTGGGGGTCTCAACACCTGGCTGTTTGAGGACCCTAAATGAATCGAATTGGAGCCTCTGGAAATGATGACCTGGTACCCTCCTGGCCTGTTAGAGATCGGGGGATCCCTCATCAGTGGAGCTACCAGAAGGGACGGCAATATCCAGCACGAGGATTGAGGACTGATGTACAGCTTGGTCAATCAGTGCCTTAAGCACCCAGTGGATTGGCCGAAAAAAGGTCCGAACTGTTCCCCCACCCCCCATAGCCCCCCTAAGCTCGAATCCAGCCCTCCCAATTTCCAAATTTTGACGAGGTCCAACCCAGATTTGAGAGCTTAGACTAAGGGTACCACCTTGTTTCAGCTTTGTTTTTTTTAGCAGGGGAAAACCCTCCCCCCAAAAAAGGGGGTTCACAAGAACACCAATCGCTGGGGGACCTAGTTGAATCTCCTCCAGTGTGATCCACTGACGCTCGCTCTTGGGCCCGTCGGGCCCGCCGCCCTGGGCCTGCGCGACCGAAAACGCAAGAGACATAGAGCAAAACTGGGGGCGATCCTCAGATCCCCGGCGAAAAGCGACGAACTTTGAGCGGCTTGTATCTGGACACTACCACCAAACCAACTAAAAAGCTTAAAAACAAAATTACCTAAAACTACCTCTAAACCAAACAGCTAAACACCTACGTAAGGGGATGGTTGGAAACCGCCAAGAACACCTGGCAAGAACACCTGGAAAAGAAGTCTCCCCAAAATCCTGGGCAACGAAACTTGAAAGGGGGCGGCTAAGCCCAGCTCATGCGGTTGTAGGGAAACCGATAGGTTCAGAGTTCCAATCCTTCAGCAACGGCCAGTGGCGTGAACTCTGAGCTGGGGAAAGCTTCGCCTTTGAGACTTTGAGACGTGGACCAAAGTTATGGGCCACCAACTTTCACTTTGGAGTTCCAAACATCAAGGCAGTGCAACAGGGCTCCCTATATTTCCCCTTAAAACATCACCCCCACCAGGGCTATTCACCTTTCAGTGATGTTTAAAACCACCAAAAAGGGGAAATCTGGGGACCCCTGTGCAAAGGACGCAAGGCAAATACCAGAGCCATTCAGTGTCGCCTTCCAACAGGTCCCAGAGGAACCACCCGTAGCTGTGAGTCATGGGAAGACAAGAGCTGGGGTCATTCTGTTGACTGTTTCTGGGGGTTTTCTCAAAGTCAGAACGTAGAATCGGTGTTTCCCTTTAACCCACCACTTAGAGGATGACTTTGATCATGGTAAAATCATGAGGCCGGCCCGTTGTGCTCGTGGTATGAATTGAGAAGGCCACTTCTGCATACAGAAGGCTAGATTACAGACTACAACATCTCTTTGCCAAAAAATACCCTAGAAAAACCGGGTATTTGGAGTAGGGGCAAGGGACGCCAAGGAGTTTCAAGGACCCCTTTCAAAAGTGGACCTGGCGCCCACGTCTGGCGCTAGTCGCTTCAAATGCGCGCGACGGCCGTGGCGACCGCCTCTGCCAGCACCAGCAGCCGCAGCTGGTGCAGGCCGCAGAGGTCCACGGAGACCAGCACTGGCAGTTGGCGATGCTTGCGACCGAGAGGTTACTGCGGATGGTTGCGAAACCACATGGGTTGAAAGGGGAAGCCAAAAGGACACCCACCTCGGGTTGAAAGGGGAAAAATGACACCAACCTTATTCTTCTTACCCCTTAAAACTCCAAGCTCTGGGGAAGTTAATCTTTTACAGACATATCGCCCATGTTACCCCCAAAAAGTTGAAAAGTTGTGTTTTTAAGAGGTAAGTCTTGGATGAACTTGGATGGGTTCCAGCCATGCTTTCTGGAGACCAAGGAAACCAACCGCTACAGGCTTGTGGTTGACATTCTCTCCCCCCAAAAAAGAGATGGGATTCCCAAGGTTGTATCACAGTGCTAGGTCCTCCAGTAGAGAGGCTAGAATTAGGGTACCCACTTTTTTCAGTTATGTCTATTTTAGTAGGGGAACCCTTCCAACCAAAAAGGATGAGAAAGGGCACTACTGGGCACCTAGAAATCCATTTGTCACACAAAGCATGGCGAAGCTTCCTACACCTTCAGATTCAGGAAAACCCTAATCCGTTTCGCACCTAAGAAATCCACTTTCATGATTCGATTCCTCGACGTGAATACCAACAAACGTTATGGTTTCAACCACGGTTTCATTGTGTGGTGCGGTCTCGGATTTCGTCCAGATGCGACAGTATGGCCGATTTCATACCGGGTTTTGATTGTGACTATAACTCTACCAGAATCATCACAAAACATGGCTTCAACGGACTCCCCAAAATGAGTTCGATTAAATTGCGGCCCAAAGCGATTGGCGACCGCAGGCGTTGTTCCGAGTTTCCAGGGCCACCCATGTTGGGGGTTACCCTGTTTCTGCTCCACGGCCTTCTTTTGGCCCCAAATGAAATGGTCCCTAATCCCAGAACCATGCCTCAAGAATTTTCCGAAGGCGGCCTTCCACAGCTGTTTCTGGATCTGGGGATCTGCTTTTTACGAACCTTCATCTACCCGAATCGGCAAGTGAGCAAGTGGCTTCAGGTGCATTGAGCCCTTGGGAGCGGAACCTCAAGGGCTGCGATCTGGGCTCAAAGTTTCGTCCCACAACTTCTAGGAGGTTCCCTGAACTCAGTTGGCCGTGGCTCAAAAAACAGAAGAACGGTACCCAAAATGGGTTGCCCTGGTAAGTGGAAAACATGGACCAACACCTGCGTAACCCCATGGTGTTTAACTTTGAGCCACACCCAGTTAGGAGTATGTCCCTAGATAAAATCATAAGGCAAGCAGTGCAACGTTGCAGTGGGTTGCCCCGGAGTTTTCCCCTAAGTGCGCAAGTTAATTCTTCGGCAACCTACGATGTAGGTTCATCCGGACAAGTTGCTTTGTTGGCAACGTCCAAGAATGATTCGGAAAGCCAAGTTCATTTCGGCAAAATGTCTGGTGCTGGTGGAGCCGGCTACGCCCAGGCTTTCAGAGCTAGATTCTAGAATTCAGATATGCTGTCCCTGAACCGACGGGAGGCTGGCCTTTTTAAAACAACATTGGCTCAGTGCAAAAAGGACTACCACAATGAAACCGAGGGAATCTGAATCAAATCTCAACGTTTGATTCATCGGGTACCAATCAGGAAGCAATTCCGGTTTTTGCTCCAACCTGCTCGCCCCCCATGAGAGCCCATGCTTCGTTTTGGAACTGCCAGTTGCAAGCAGTGCAGCGATGACCTGGAAAAAAGGGTGCCCAATTCTGTGGTGGTTGATTTTGACTCTGAGGATATCTCGGTTTAAAAAGGCTGGACATGAGTTCCCATGTAAAACTCATCTTAGGAACGGACGCAAATATGTTTGTGTCCACTACACTGTATGTCATGTTTCCCCTCAAACATGAGGGTCAAGCTAAGCACCCCCTAGATTGAACAAGCAAGGCCTCTGCTAAGAGTTGTTTTAGGCTGGACCCAAGATCCAGAATTGCACAGAAACCGCGTCTTGGGCATCTTGGTTTGCAGGCCACGCAAAAATTGAGGTTGGGGGGGGGGCAACTGTTGCGCAACATGTTCGAGGCTCTCAGCTTGGTACGCCCATGTTGTGCAACATTTGAAAAACAAGTTGCGCAACATGTTGGGTTGCCGGGGGGGTTGGCCCGGGGCGATGGCGAGTTGAAAGCGCATCGCATTGAACAGGTGCTCAAATGTGCCACGAATCACTGCATTTTCAAGCATGCCTCCCAGGAATGTCGCTTACCAAACCCTGCAACTTCGCGTTCCCGAGATCGCTGCCGTGACAGTTCCACGTTTTTTAACAGGCTGAAGGCTCCGCCGGCGCCAGCTCCCCTTCAGGGGCTGTGCTCAGCCACGACGTGTCTGAGAAACACTGCAAAGGATCCATCCTGTCTTGGACATGGAGCCTGTGCAGAGCAAATGCATGGAGCATCTTGTCAATGCCCGGGTTCTTATGCGCATAGACAACAGACAAACCGCGGATGCGTGCGCTGCTTGTGCGACCGCCTGCAAGAAGCTGTCGCTTGAGATTCGACACAAGCGACTCCGCACGTTGGTCTCCTCCGACCAACGTTGTCTTGCTGCCACTGGCTTTGTGTGATGTCTCGCGCCCCCCTGCCATCAGCGCAGTGAGGGCCTGCTTCGGAAGGTGAGGAGTGGGCAGGCTTTGAACTGGTGAAAACTCTGAAAGGGAATGCCTTGCGATAGCTTCGCCAAAAGAAGTAGTATGACCAAAGCTAAACCTGCAGACTCCATCTGCTTGAGCACTCAACAAGGTGCGAGCACGTTACAAAGCAATCCTGCATTACATCACCCTGGCCGAACAAGCACCCCGCCCGAAAAAAGCGGTCGCCTCTCCTCTCATGAACGCTATCATCCCCACCCCACCCCACCCCACCCCACCCCAAAAAGCGGTCGCCTCTCCTCTCATGAATGCAATCATCCCCACCCCACCCCACCCCACCCCACCCTAAAGAGCGGTCGCCTCTCCTCTCATGAACGCTATCATCCCCACCCCGCGACACCCCACCCCAAAGAGCGGTCGCCTCTCCTCTCATGAACGCTATCCCCACCCCACCCCAAAGAGCGCCTCTCCTCTCATGAACGCTATCATCACCCCACCCCACCCCACCCCACCCCAAAGAGCGGTCGCCTGAACGCTATCATCCCCACCCCGCCCCACCCCAAAGAGCAGTCACCTCTCCTCTCATGAACGCTAGCATCCCCACCCCGCCCCACCCCAACCCAAAGAGCGGTCGCCTCTCCTCTCATGAACGCTATCCCCACCCCACCCCAAAGAGCGCCTCTCCTCTCATGAACGCTATCATCACCCCACCCCACCCCACCCAACCCCACCCCACCCCAAAGAGCGGTCTCCTCTCCTCTCATGAACGCTATCATCCCCACCCCGCCCCACCCCACCCCAAAGAGCGGTCGCCTCTCCTCTCACGAACGCTATCGTCCCCACCCACCCCACCCCAAAGAGCGGTCGCCTCTCCTCTCATGAACGCTATCATCCCCACCCCGCCCCACCCCAACCCAAAGAGCGGTCACCTCTCATCTCATGAACGCTATCACCCCCACCCCGCCCCACCCCAAAGAGCGGTCGCCTCTCCTCTCATGAACGCTAGCATCCCCACCCCGCCCCAAAGAGCGCCTCTCCTCTCATGAACGCTATCATCACCCCACCCCACCCCACCCCACCCCACCCCACCCCACCCCACCCCAAAGAGCGGTCTCCTCTCCTCTCATGAACGCTATCATCCCCACCCCGCCCTACCCCACCCCAAAGAGCGGTCGCCTCTCCTCTCACGAACGCTATCGTCCCCACCCACCCCACCCCAAAGAGCGGTCGCCTCTCCTCTCATGAACGCTATCATCCCCACCCCGCCCCACCCCAACCCAAAGAGCGGTCACCTCTCATCTCATGAACGCTATCATCCCCACGCCACCCCACCCCACCCCACCCCACCCCACCCCGGGCCAACCCCCCCCGTCAACCCAACATGTTGCACATGATCCCGGCTTCAAAAAACAACAACACTGTGGCTGAACTGCGTTGTTTTGTTTTTGGTGTTTTGCACTAATATACATATATGGATATGGGTAAAAATTAGACTACCAGGAAATAAAACCGCAGGTTGTAGTCCTTGTTTGCATTTGCCAGGGCTTGCCCCATTTTGGGGTCACCCCATGTTTGACAACCACAGCCAAATTAGTATCATTATATACGTATATTGGACTAATGTACATACATACATATACTTTTATATACATATATGGGTATGGGTCAAAATTAAACCACCAGTGAACCGCAGGTTTTAGTCTTTGTTTCCGTTTACCAGGGTTCCATTTTGGGTACCTATTTCTGACCCACACCCATATTAGTCTCCACCACGCCTGGGATCCGCAGCTCCCCGGAGAGCTTCGATAGGCGGAGGCCCTGGCCGGTCTCCATGCGGAGGGTTGCGAAATCCATGGCGCACGTGGAACTTATGGTTGAAACGCCATCTAGGTCCTCCAGTAGAGAGGTTAGAATAAGTTGGTACCCACTTTTTTCAGTTTTGTCTATTTTTAGTAAGGGAACCCTCCCCCAAAAAAGGGGAGAGAAGGGCACCACTGGGGGACCTAGCCATGGAACGATTCTTGGCATTCATCATTGGGAATCGAATTCACATCCTTCCAAGGGCTTTCTTAGGTGCGAAGCGTTCGAGTTCAACCATCCACAGGGCTTCGTTTTATCCCGAGCGCTGTGTGCGAGACCAAAATGGTCCATCCACGGTGAGAGGACCCAAAACACCCGAAGAAGAAAAAACGCGGCTTTTCCTGTTGTCCACGGAACGTGACAAGGGTGCCCTCCAAAAGAAACGCACACACGGGATGCCAGGATGGCAGGTTGAACCTTAAGCAATATGAGGTGAGCAACTGGGTCATGTCTCGTTCAAACTGGAACGTGCTTTGTTGCACTCACCAATCGACATCGGTCCCGAAAACGGTTGGTTTCCTTTTGCATTCCCTGTCAAATACCAACCAAAAGGGGGCCCAGCATTCTGAGAACCACTCATTCATGTAAGCTGGGCTAAATAAATACTCTCCCTCCAACAAACAAATGGAAACTCGGATCTACTTTGGAAGACTACTTTCCGGGGGAAGCTGCCAATCGACACTTCCATAATTGCTGGAAAAAGGGTAGAAGGCTCCGATTGAAGGCAACTACAAAGCAGGTTTTGCAAAATATCCCGTTGGAATCCACAGGTCGGCCCTTATGCAACAGGCATCGAGGCGTGGTATCTCCGAGCATGGTCGAAAATCCCCCGACATCTGTCTAGGTCCTCCAGTAGAGAGGTTTGAATAAGGGTCCAACTTTGCTCTGCCTCCCCCAGAAAAGGGTAAAAGGGCACCTAGCTGCGGGACCCAGCTGTGGTACCAAGGGTGGATTCCCACGACTGCTTTGTCACTTTCAAGTGGTATCCCCTTGGTGTCGCAGCTGGCCCTGTTTACTAAACACTAAAAGGATAAGAAGCTAAGGGGATGGCTGGGAGCCATCAAGTAAAATCAACATTTCCAGAGGTTCTCAAAACTACTTTTGGGGCAATTTTTTCCTAGAGGTCAGAACACGGTGGACGGTTGATGCAACCCACCTAACACACGGCCGAACTGTGCCCCAACCCTCAAAAAGCAAATTAGACCTAAACCGCCCCGAATGGTGGCGGTTCGGGCGGCAATTAAACCATCCTTCGTATTGTTTGGGTATTGTCCATCCATACTGGATCGAATGGTATTCACAATTGCTCACCTTTGGCCCATTTGCTCATACCCTCAAAAGTATCCTCTAAATGACCCAAAAGGAATCAAATGAAAGAAGCCCAGATATGTATAAGGGTGCGGGTTTTAAGGGAAGCCTTGAGTGGTGCAGGATTTCGTCCATCCATAGTAGGACACCCACATAGCGAAGTGGGTCTCTCACTTTCTCCCATGAGTCATTTCGGTCTGCCTCAACTGGAAGGGCAGCTACATCTTGAAGCGTGGAGTATGCAACCCACAGAGGCCAATCGCACCGATATGGTGCTGTTTCTGACATTAAAATAGCCCAACGTGAAGCAAAACCACCCGGGATGTACAAGCATAGGTGTCCTTGTTGGGAAAATCGATGGGCCATGTTGATTGAACCACCAGGTAAACCAGGGATCGCCCTCTATTTTTCAACCAAATCAACCAAAAAGGACACCTATACAAGCCAATCCTCTGACTTCGCTGGTGCCTCCGGTCGAAGCACCACGTCGCTGTTGTGCTCCGGCTCGAAGGCTACGAAGTTGGGGTGGGACCTCGATCCCATGGTGAACTGGGGCCAGACTGGAGTGGGAAAGACGCCCCTCTGGGTGGTTTTTCTTTTCAGGAGATCCCCCAAAATGGGGGCTTTCCGTTTGGCCTTCCTTTAAAACCACCCAAAAAGAAGGTACTCTGGCTTGATGGCTATCTTGAAACAAAATTCCGAGCCATTTCCCTTGGTGGAACCTAATCAGCACCAATGGACGGCACCAGTAAATTGGAGGGGAAATCCAGTGTGACCCCTGCTAAAGGGAACCCCCATAAGAGGACACAGGACCACTGACCGCCCGACCCCCGCGAATCGTTTTGGGGGGGGCACTGAAGTGCCCTATGGTACTGGGCGCGCGCGTTCCGTGAAGTGCCGGGTGAACGTCCTGTCCTTCAGAGTGAACTGTTTGAGTGCTAACTGGACCATCGTCGCCCTAAAGTAAAAAAACGCTTTGTCTTTAGCCGCCCAAAGGGTCCTTTCGGCTTCCCTTAAAACCCGCACCCTTATACATATCTGGGCTTCTTTCATTTGATTCCTGTTGGGTCATTTAGAGGGTACTTTTGAGAGAGCAATAGCGGCGTTGGGGTCGAAATAAAGAACGGGCCACCCTCCGGTGCCCCCCTTTGTATTGGACCCTCCTTCAGGGTTGCCGAATGACATGGGCCTGAAGATTCTCTTCAACAGGCCACTTCACTTCAGTGTTTGTTGGGAAAAGATGTATGATACAAGTATGTACCAAAGCTTGTTGTCCATGTTCATAATGAACATAGAGGAATGTTCCGCGTTAAATTGTCATATCCACATCTGACTTGCGCAATCGGGTGAGCGGGGTGAAGCCTTTAGTACAACAGACTCATATACATACTATCTTCGCAAATGGCAAAGTGAACTTAGCCAACCCTGTGCCTTCACAGATATGGGTGACTCGTCTTGTTCGAGGTTGGACCCCCATAAGCGGATTTCGGCTTTTCTTTGGCTTCCGTTTAACACCAACGAAAACGAAGCACCCTAGAAAAGGACAGACCCATATACAACAAATACTCAAGAGACCGGGCAATCCGTTGGACGGTCATTGCAACAACTGCCCGTCTCGTGCTCAGTCTGGCGTATGAAGACCCCTTGCAACCACTTGGCCAAGTTGGCCACTTGGCCACCCTCCGGCGGGCGACCGCAGTGCCAGCTGAAGCTCTCGCGACGGATGCGCATGACCACGAAGCGTCGGACCTCGATTTGCTGCTTCATGGCCAACGGGGTCAGCATCTCACGGCTCCATGATGTTAGCCAGACTTGGCCACCCTCGGCCAGCCAGCGACCTTTTAGCCGGAAGGCTCCTGCTGATCTTGCGATCTCCGTCGAGTTGCAAAAAAATGCGGATCCAACACCCCTCGCGGATTTCTCCGCAAGTCTTTGGTTCGAACGCGACCGGCTTGTGGACGCTCGCCAGCTGGAACTTAAAACTGACATGAGGTGGAGTAGAACCCCTCACTGAAGAAAGCTGGAAAATACAAGGGATGGTAAAACCGCCACAAAGGCATTTGGGAACCTCGCTTCTTTGACTGGTGCATCCCTTCGATTCTGGATGCGTGCGCGGCAGGAGCACTTAAAGCTGACTTCTGCGACTTGCATAGGGGCCACGAGTCACTAGCGGCTAAGCTGCAGGCGTTGCCACCTGCACAAAGGACAACGGGCAGTCCGCATCCGCGTTGAGGACAAGGCTGGCCGGGGGGGGGGGGGAGATGAGCAGCTTGGTAACTCATTTGGAGGTGTCCGGTGTCCAATGCTGACCAGGGCTGTGGAAAATGGAGCCCACTTCTGTGATACCCAGACAATGGAAGATTTCAATGGAAGACCCGACCCCTCCATTGGACACCCCAGAGGTGTTTGGGGGTCTCAAAACCTGGCGGTTTGAGGGCCCTAAATGAATCGGGAGTTGCTGGGTACAACAGAAAGGGCTTTCCCTTGTATCACAGAAGTGGGGATAAACCCCTTGATCCCACAACCCCGGATGCCGACTATCCCAAGGACTTATAGATAGGGTTGGTTGACTTCCCCTTGGCTAAGTCTACCAAGTCGAAAAATGGAATCGGACCTGCATTCTGCACAGGAAAGGAAAGCCCTGAAAACCCCTAAGGAACTCTTCTACCCTTGGGACCCGTTTTTGGCTTGGCCATCTTTTAAAGGCTCGGAGCAATCCTGATTGAACATTTGGTTGTCTGACCCCGCGTTCAAAGGGTCAGGGAGACTCCAGGTACGTTTCACCAACCCTGATAAGCACTAAGAAGAAGCCGGGTCAAACCATCTCAATTCCGCCCCGAACTGGATCTGTTCCCTTGATGAGGCACAAGCCTGACTCCTGAATTGGCTGCAGAAGTAGGAGGCTTTCATCCTCCGTCTTTCCTGGTGCTCGCTATGTGGAATTGCCCGATCGGTCAAGTTACCTGCCACATCTTGACACACACACACACACACAAGGTTTGGATGAATCTTACCCCAGCCGAGCGTTCCTGGCAGAAAAAACGGCCTTGCCTTGACCCAATTTCCGTGGGCAGGGACGACTCACGAACCGAAAGCAGGAGATTCCCAAGAACCCTTCAGGCTCCCAAGGGCTGGTAGGTGATCTTTCAGCAATTTTAGCCCCTGACTGCGCAAAGTCCGCATGGAAAAGCCAGCTGCTCTCCTCCGAGAGCCTTCTGCAACATCCACTTTTAGTCCCAAATTCGGAAATGTCGTTTTTGAGGGGATTTACTCAAAGGCTTCCTTCAAATTGTCCTTTGGGACGACAAACCAAAAACAGGGGGTGCACTCCAAAAAAAAGGAAACGCCAAAACCATGGTGTCCTTTGTGGGAAAATAGATGGCCCTGGTATTGATTGAAACACCAGGTAAACCAGGGATCGCCCTCTATTGTTTCAACCAAATCAGCCAAAAAGGACACCTACTCTGGATGGACGAAATCCATTTCGCACCGCCTTTGAAACCATTGTTGAAACCGTTGTTTGTTGGTACTTACAGTGGAATCGAATCATTCCTTTGCGTTTGTTGGGTGCTGCGAAACGGATTTCGTAACCATCCACATGGCCAACACCCTGAAGCCTGCCACGTGGGCAAGCCCACGCCGAGCGACTCCCGCGCCTGCATCTGTGCAGCTGGCCTGCCGGCTGATCGGCGGGCACATGGGCACATGCCCCCTTGCCTATACCTGGGTCCTCCAGATTTGAGAGGCTAGAATAAGTTGGTCACTTTTTTCAGTCTTGTCGATTTTAGTAGGGGAACCCTCCCCCAAAAAAGGGGGTGAGAAAGGGCACGATCCTGGGGGGCCTAGTATATCCGCCGACATTGCTCGGCGTGTCATACTGTGCAGCTGGCCTGCCGGCTGATCGGCGGGCACATGGGCACATGCCCCCTTGCCTATACCTGGGTCCTCCAGATTTGAGAGGCTAGAATAAGTTGGTCACTTTTTTCAGTCTTGTCGATTTTAGTAGGGGAACCCTCCCCCAAAAAAGGGGGTGAGAAAGGGCACGATCCTGGGGGGCCTAGTATATCCGCCGACATTGCTCGGCGTGTCGGATACTTACTAGAGGATAGAGGATAACCCCCCCCCTAACCCCCCCCCGCCCGACGTCTATTACGTAGGTTTTTGGGGGGGGGGGGGGGGGGGTCCCCCACGTACCGCGCGGCAATTTGATGACGTTCCACTAAACGTAGTCTTCGGGGAGCCGGTGTCGCAAAACAGGGGTCCCAGGCTCGATTCCCCCTGCCGGCTTTTTTGCTGGCTTGGGCTTCCTGCATCCTTTTGCCGAAAATCTGGAAAAACTCAATGTTTTTGGACGTCCTCTTTGCGAAAACGCTGGAAAAACCGTGTTTTTTTTGCGGGAAATACTGGGGAGCAAAGGGGAAGTGCAAGGATACATACATACATACATACATACATACATACATACATACATACATACATACATACATACATACATACATACATACATACATACATACATTACATACATACATACATACATACATTACATTACATTACATTACATTACATTACATACATACATTACATACATTACATACATACATACATTACATTACATTACATTACATACATACATACATACATACATACATACATTACATACATACATACATACATACATACATACATATACATTACATACATACATACATACATACATACATACATACATACATACATACATACATACATACATACATACATACATACATACATACATACATACATACATACATACATACATACATACATTACATACATACATACATACATACATACATACATACATACATACATACATACATACATACATACATACATACATACATACATACATACATACATACATACATACATACATACATACATACATACATACATACATACATACATACATACATACATACATACATACATACATACATACATACATACATACATACATACATACATACATACATACATACATACATACATACATACATACATACATACATACATACATACATACATACATACATACATACATACATACATACATACATACATACATACATACATACATACATACATACATACATACATACATACATACATACATACATACATACATACATACATACATACATACATACATACATACATACATACATACATACATACATACATACATACATACATACATACATACATACATACATACATACATACATACATACATACATACATACATACATACATACATACATACATACATACATACATACATACATACATACATACATACATACATACATACATACATACATACATACATACATACATACATACATACATACATACATACATACATACATACATACATACATACATACATACATACATACATACATACATACATACATACATACATACATACATACATACATACATACATACATACATACATACATACATACATACATACATACATACATACATACATACATACATACATACATACATACATACATACATACATACATACATACATACATACATACATACATACATACATACATACATACATACATACATACATACATACATACATACATACATACATACATACATACATACATACATACATACATACATACATACATACATACATACATACATACATACATACATACATACATACATACATACATACATACATACATACATACATACATACATACATACATACATACATACATACATACATACATACATACATATACATACATACATACATACATACATACATACATACATACATACATACATACATACATACATACATACATACATACATACATACATACATACATACATACATACATATGTACATGCATGCATACATACGAGAGAGGGAGAGTGGGGAGAGAGAGGCTTGGGGGGATGGGGAGGATGGGAGCAGAGGGAGGGAGAGAGGACGACAGAACACACAAGGGAGACAAGCAAGAGAGGAAGAAGGAGAAAAGGGAGAGGACAATGTCGGCGGACTGAGCCGGAGGCTCTAAAGTTTAGTGGAAGGGGGGGGGTGGGGAGGGCACCCGGTCCCTACATTGAGACCCCCAGAAATCGAACCTGAGTAAAGGGGTTGGGGATCTTTTCGGGCGTTCCCAGGGCACCCTCCGGTGGCAAAGCAAGATCCGGAAGAATAGAAATAGCATCTCGCTTCCTGAGTGGATTGGTCAGAAAAAGAAGAAGGAAAAAAACGGAGACAAAAAAAGGACCTTTTGTTTCCCACTAAAATGGTCCAGACCCAAAAAGTGACCAAAGCCCAGGAATTTCCTGAAGCGAGGCACGCAAAACAATCAGATTCCAACGATGCAAACCAACGAAAACGCGTTTCCGTCGCTCAGCTCCATCCGCGCACGCCTTGTAGCAGCTGTGGGTGTCCGTTGCCCCTTGGCGCGAACATGAACCCAAGGAACGAGCGGAAGAAGGCAACCCTGGAACCCACCCCAGACCCCTTCCCAGAATCCAAGAGCTTCAATTTAATCTTCCAAGAATCTCTAACTCACCTGCCCAAAAATGAATAAAGGTGGCGGGCAAAAGAGATCAAGCAAAGGATCAACCGGCGGCGGGTCAACCAAGCAAGATCTTAATTCAGGGCGAGATCATTGACCCGATTTATGCCAGGGAGGGTAATTAGACTCCATCAAACTCACAAATCGCCAATTCGATTGAAGCTGGCAACAGGCGAACGACGTTTAGTTCTACGTACCCACATGCTTTTTTCAGGGTGTTGGGGTCCTTACTATCACCAGGTCGTTGCTCCGCCGAAGCCAGCTAACAAGCAAAGACATGTTGGGCCTCAGGGTTGAAGCCGATTTCCCACAGAAGTGACCCACCAGAGGGTAAGCGACCCACCCGGCGAGAGAAGCACCCCCCGAGGGTAGAATCTTCAGCCGACAGGAAACCACTAGAAGGAAATCAATACCCACTTTCTTGCGTGTTGTTGAAACACAGGGAAAAGCGGGTGGGAATCGTATTCTGCCCTTGCAACAAAGAGGGACCTCCCTTTCGATAAGGGGGGATGTGTCAAAGTATAACCTCAAGACGCCGGCTTTGCCTGTTTCACCAGTACAAATTACCTCAAGCATGGCTTGGCATCGACGAAACATTCCACACAAATTGGACTGAAATTCCCTTGCGCTTGCCGAAGCATCATCAGACTTCGTTTGACTTGGGCCCCCACTTGTCGGGCCAGCCTGGCCGGGCAAGTCAGGCGACAGCGTTCCTCTTGCTCCTACCCTAGTGACCCCGTGGGGCCTTTTCATTACCAGTTTTAGTGGAACCCGTTTGCCCGAACCGATGGTTTTCTAGGCAGGAACCAAAAGATCAAATGGAGGTCCAAAGACAGGTCCGTGGTTGGAAAAGCTGAGTGCCCACTTTCCGATTCATTGTCAAACTTTGTATTCTCTTGGACACGAATTTGCGGCAGCGATCTTCTTTTAGCGAAGCTCGTATCCAAGGAGAAACTCCATTCAAATTGGCAAAGGTGATGTTTACGCCGCCCGAAGTGGGGAAGCATCAGACCTTCTCGACTGGGATTTTCACGTCTCACACAGGATCCTCACTTCCGTAACCTATGCTGACTGCAACTCAAGATAAATTGCGGGGGAGAAACAAAAAACAAACGATCCTTTGAAAGGAACCGTGGGAGAGGTCGTTGTGCATTCCCCGTGGATCCATCTGCCCCCCGCTGTCTCCATCTGCTTGCCACTCTGTACGTCCTTCAGATATGACATCTGGAGAAACGGCGAGGTTCGCATGGCTGAACATGTAGGATCCTAAGAACTTTCGACTCGATCCATGTCTAGGTCCTCCAGCTTTGCGAGGTTAGAATAAGTTGGTACCCACGTCTTTCAGTTTTGCCTGTTTTAGTAAGGGACTCCCCAAAAAAAGGGGCAAAAGGGCACGATCCTGGGGACCTTTTGGATACCTGGAGTCTCCTTCCAACCCTTTGAACCTGGAGTGAGAAAGGGCGCCCATCGCTGGGGGACCTATCCTCCCGAAAGGCAGCACCATGTGGGCTGCGGAGGAAGAGATGGGTGGATGGGCGAAATCCGATTCGCACCACGAACTGAAACCATGGTTGAAACCATGGTTTGTTGGTATTTACAGGGGAATCATCATTCTAGGGTTTCTTGGGTGGTGCAGGATTTCTTCCATCCACAGTATCTTTCAGCTGGGGAACTCCTGGAGGGAGATGTTTTGGAGGGGCGAGGAGAGTTGATTTGCCTCCCTCTCTCGCACGACCATCCCTTGTCCCGCTCTGTTCCCGGCGAGAATGCGATGGAATGGTGACAAGAAATGGAGAGGACTGGCCGTGTCCTTTCAAGGTTTCATCACCAATCCCAAAAGAAAGCACAGGATGGGAAAAATGGGTGGCCAGGCCTTTCGCCACGCCATAGGCCTGGAATGTACTCCTTCTTCACCTCCATTATTCTGATCCTCACTGACAGGAAATAGTCTTATGTGAGAGGCTGTGATGATGGAGCAAGCAAAAGGCCCATCTCATTCCACTCACGTCCGTTCCTTAAGGCCCTCCAGATTGACGAGGTTAGAATAAGTTGGTACCCTTTTTTCTGCTTCGTCTATTTTCGCAGGGTTCGGAACCCTCCCAACCAAAAAAGGGCTTAAACAGGGCACCTAGGGGGACCAGCCCAGGTTCCCCTGGCCGTTTTCGCCTCCCTGGTCGCGACGAGTGGCCGCGACTCGAGTCGCCTTCCAGGCGCGCAGCAAGGCGAGGCTTCCGGGCACGCACCTGGCCAGCTGGGGTCCTTTTGAGTTGGTCCGTCTGTTTTTTCCTTTTTTTTTTCCGGGGGTGGTCTTCAAGAAAACCACTCTCTTTTTGTTGTTTTTTCTTTTGGGTGGTCTTCAAGGAAACCAAGCTGGCAAAAATGAAACAACCCTTCAACCAGATTTTGGGGGTTAAAGGAAACTCCAAAAGTTCCAAATGAAAGCAATACATCGTTCAGCTTCCCTCTTGGTGGTTTGGATGGCTCCAAAACCACAAACACAGGGTGCCCTGAGGAAAAAAACAACAACGAGCCACCCAAATAGATAGACAGATAGGCCCAGCATGGCGCAGCATGGCCCCACGTCTCCTCGGTTGCTTTCTGCTCCCCTGCCAAAAGTTTATAACTTTTAGTGGTTTAATACGGAAAACCCATTAAGTTACTTACCCCTTAAAACTCCAAGCCCTGGGGAAGCTAATCTTTTACAGACATATAGCCCATGTTACCCAAAAAGTTGAAAAGTTGTGTTTTTAAGAGGAAAGGTTAAAGCCCTAACATCCCTTGGCAAAATTCGCGCCAACGGCTCGTTTTGCTTCAGGCCCCGCCTTCACCTGGAGCCGCAAGTCCGTGCTGTAGACGCCGCTGCGGGAGGCCCGCTGCTCCAGCCTCTGGCTCTTGGTCTCTTCAGGGCGAAGGTCGACCGCGGGTTGCTTTCATGGCCTTGATCTTCCAGCACCCTGGAAAAGCAAGCCTTTGGCCGAATCTCCGCCAAGATCAAAATCAAGAAGGACCCTGGTATTGCAGATCCTTGGAAGACCAAGGAATGCTTGGCTTCAAGGAATGCTTGGCTTCCATTTTGTGTCCCTTCTAACGCAAGAAGCGCGGCATCATATTTTTGAGTCGGCATCCTTTTGAGGTTGGTTAAAATAAAATAAAGGGAACAACCACCACTTTGGGGGTCTTATTCAAGGCCCATTCTTCAGCTCGCCCATTCCTCCTCGCAGATTCACATGGTTCCGCAAGAAGAAAAACCTTCGTCATGCGGAGGCATCTCCTTTGGGGACACCTTTTTGCTAGATCCTCCAGTGGAGAGGATAGAATAAGGCTACCCACTTTATTGTTGTTTGTCTATTTTAGTAGGGGAACCCTCCCCCAAAAAAGGGGTAAAAGGGCACTACTGGGGGACCTAGCATGTTGTTCTCTTGCACCATCATGAAAGTAGACAGGTTAATTGGAAGACTACCTTGAAGTTGCTCATTGCTCCTTTGACCGTATGATGGTTGGAAAACGGGCAACTTCTCTCTAGATGAGTTCCCTGAGAAGTGTTTCTGCAAATAGCTGTCTGCCTTGACTAGGTCCTCCAGTAGAGAGGTTAGAATCAGGCTACCCACTTTTGTCTTTTTTGTCTATTTTAGTAGGGGAACCCTCCCAACCAAGAAAGGGGTTGAAAAGGGCGCCTAGCTGGCGGACCTACTGTGGATGCACGAAATCCGTTTCGCACCACCCAAGAAACCCTCGAATGATCCGATTCCCGTGTAAATACCGGCCAAACATGGCTTCAGCCATTGCTTCAAAGTGCTGCGAATCGGATGCCGTCCCTCCACAGTAGCCCCCCGCCCCCCCCCCTTGGGCATCCAATCGGGCCCCGGGGCCCCGGAAGCCCAGGCTGCCGGGCGTGGCCCGCAAGCGCCGGCCCTTCAGCTGCAGGGGCCGCTCGCACACCACCTGAAGGCACCCGATCCATCCGATCCCCGATCCTCCGGCGAATACCGGGGCAACTGGGACTCCGGAAACTCGCGAACATGAACGCGAGGCTTGCCGTCGTTTTCTTTTTCTTTTTTTTTCGGAATCCTCCCTTCTTTTTTGAGCTCCATGGTTATTTGCAGCATGCAATCAAAAAAGGCTGGGCCCATTTGTTGAACTTCAAGGACGCGTGAACCTTTTGGGGAACCCCCTTTCGGTAGACAGGAACATTCATGGGTGAAATCGGTCACAAATCAAACACTCTGAGGGAATGCTGGCTTCCAACATTTAACATGCCTCATGCACATCCGCACGAGCCTTTAGGATAGCCCTGTGGCGGAACCGCCTAAGGGTCGACCCCAGAAAGAAGTTCCGATCCCATTAAAGCGGCCCATCCCCCTCCCAAAAAATGAGAGTGAGCAGACTCTGCTGGCCACAGGGTCCCCTTCTTGCCCAAAACGGGTCTCCCCAAAACTAGGGCACACAAAAACTGGGGAAATGTCCCGTTGCGAATGCAATAAAGGAGGGTCCCTATTTGAGGACGTCCAATTGGCTTCCTGTCACTTTTGTATCACAAAAACTAGGGAGATGAACCTTCCACCTGAGCCTTGCCGCCTGCAAAAGCCGAGCTTCACACAACAAGGGGCTAAGGCTTTGGGTGTGTTTCCTTTGCTTTCCCTTTAGTTTCACATGCGAAAGGGGTACCCCTTGCCAAAAGTGAATAACACTCAGTGACACTCAGCGGGAAAAAGTTGAAACCCAACCACCAAGCCAACGAAACACAACTCAAACCCCAGAAGAAAAAACAAAAAGAATAATAACAAAAACGGCGGAATTTCGCCGGCTCCAACCTGACGCCAAGGCAAAAAGCTCAGCCCTCGGGTCTTCTCACCTGGGCCCCGGCCTGATCGCAGTCAAAGAGGTTCCACTTCACCGAGCGCAGCTGCAGCAAGCCCTGGCCGAGGATGGTGCTGACATGGGGAGCCCCAAGCTCTACCAGGTGCTCCAGTAGAGAGGATAGAATAAGTTGCTACCCACTTTTTTCTTGCTTGGTCTATTTTAGTAGGGGAACCGAATCTCCCAACCAAAAAAAGGGGTTGAAAAGGGCACGATCCTGGGGGACCTAGTCTATTTCACCTGGAAACAAGTGAGAACATATGGCTGCGGCTCAAAAATGCGGTACCAAAATGGCACCTTGGTAAATGGAACCAAAGACTAAAACCCGCGTAACCCCAGCTCTTTAATTTTGAGCCCCATACCCATATTAGCTTGCAGTAGTGAAATCAATTCCTAAACAACAAAGGGGCTCCTTGGGCTCCAGCAGGACCGAAAGTTGAATTATCAGGGGCAGGGGGTACCCAATTTCCGGCTGGTTTTTGTCGAGCCTTTCTCGAGCTGCTCGCGGCTCCTTTGACGGTAGGAGTTCCTCTTATGTTAGAGCCACTGCGAGTGGGGCTTGGCCTGTTCAAAGTCGTGGTTTCCTGCTCAGCCCAAGTCAAGGGCATGTTGTCCGTCTGTTGGCGTGCACTCATGCTGCCATGTTCATTGCATTTCAGCACCAATCCGCCGAATTTAGATGAGGGCGGTAGTCCCGCAAAAGCGTGCATACCGGGCCATTTTTTTCCAGATGGCTGCGGTGACTGCTTTGTTTCCCATTCAACCCATTCGGCCAGAATTCAAGTGAACAGGGGTTGTTCCTAAAACCCTAGCGCGCGGGTAGGAAATTGTCGAGGAGAAGGACGACTCAAGGACAGACCACCAATTCTAGTGAACATGACTCGTGTTGATGAATTTCCCGGTGTCAACCAGCCCCATAAATTGCAAGCTGCCAGGTCTACCATGGGCTCTAATCAGGTTTACGTGTTTTCCCTGGCTTTTCTGCGTTTTGTTGTCTTTGGCTTATGATTGGCAGTGAACGGGAGAATTAGGACAGCATTGTTTTTATGCATAAATGTCCTAAAACCCAATGTTTTTCGGAGAATTGCAGCTTAACTGCTTAAAAATCTGAATCAACAAGCTGCAGCCAAAGCATGGCAGAAATCCTGCTCAATGGGAGGCCGATACTTCCAAGAGCTACGCATGTAGTGAAACACATTAGAGTGAAGCTGAGTTGGTACATAGTCTTGCAGTGATTGCCACCACCTGTCTCTACATTGAGCCCCCACTATGAAGCAAGCGGGTCGTTTGCGTGCTCCTCTCGTCACAGAGGCTCTAGCAAATTCATGTTTGCTGGGATGGACATGTTGCTCGCCAAACGCTTTTTGCCGACATCTGCAACCAACTTTGGCCATGCAACATGTGTGCGCTGGCATGTTTGTTCCTGTGCGTGCAAGCCTTTCGTAACGACGGTGTCATGCCCCCCCCCCCCCACCCCCTCCCCCAGCCCTGCTCACAACTGCAACTCAACACATCACAGCCTGAAACTGCAAACAAGAAAAGCACCAAAAGTACCAGGCTTTTTCCCAGCCTGTTTCCTCCAAAAAGGGGCCGTGCACCCATGTTTGGCGACCTGCTCAGTCACTGCCCAAGCTGCTGGATCTCAGCAGTAAATAATTATCTATCAGGCAAACCTCTTTTGTGCCGCTCATTAGGTTGCGTTAAAGTGCGCCACGCCTTCATTCTAATCATGCGGGCCGTTTGGTATGGAGAGTTGCTCAGACCCTCCAACACATTATCAACATGGCCAACGGTCTGCTTGAGTCATGAACTTCCCCTTACCTAAAAGCCAATGTCTACCAACTGCGGATCGGGTCGAACGGGAGCATGGGCCCCAGTTGCCACTATCTCAGTAGGCAACCCTTCGAAGGCGGGACTCCCGTATCGTTGGGGCCTGGCAGGAGGGGGAGGGGGGAGGGAGCCCAAGTTAGCTCTTAAGCCCTTGAGGAGGCCATAGTTGCGCTCCATCCCCCCCTTGGACAGCGTTGACTAACAGAAGGGGAACTCCGTGGATGCCACTATAATTCCAGGTCCTCCAGTAGAGAGGTTAGAATTACGGTACCCTTTTTTCTGTCGTCTATTTTAGTAGGGTTGAAACCTCCCCCAAAAAAAGGTGATAAAAAGGGCACTGGGGGACCTAGGGGTACTGACTCACATAGGCCCTTCGTCGGCTCCCCTCCTTCTTCAGGTGTTCCGGGGAGGTTAACAATTTGCAACAAGAAAAAGTGGTTCAAGTCCCCAAATTACCAAAAGCCACCCATCCAAACCCCCAACTCATGGGAAAGCCCACCTTTGGGTCCGGAACCCAAACCGAACCCGCGCCCACCGCCCACCGCCCACCGAACCCATCGACTCGCCTCCCGCCGCGGCACCGCGGTGAGGCGCAGCTTGGCTTGCTCCAGGGGGCCCAAAGTCACGTCCTGCGAGAAATCGGCCGAAGGCCGCCGTTTCGTTCGGGGGGGCCAAGGCCTGGGGTGGAAAACACCGCCCTTCCGCCGGGCCAAGGGACAACTCACAGCCTGGCACAGCCTGGCGAAAAAAGGGCCAACTGGAAAAAAACACGTCGGAAGACTGCCCTTGGTTTAGGCCCTGGCTGGAAAAACAAGGCCAGTCGAAAACATTTTTTCTCTGGCGCGGGCACAAAACTTACATGGCGATTTGCAACGCCAGTGCCTTGTTTGAACCATCATCCTTGCTTTTGAAGGCGACCACTGCTTGGGCCGCCTCAGGACTTTCCCGACATAATGACAGTTTTGCGGGGAGCCCAAGCAGCCCAAGGTGCTAGAAGGTAGTTTTCGTGAGGTTTCCCTTTTGACTCGTTTTTGGTTCCGGAGTGGATTAGTCAGAAAAAGTTCAAACTGTTTGTTTACCACCGCAATGGTCCATTCCCAAAAAGAGGCTAAAGTCCGAAACGGAACTCAGGCCCTGAGTCGAGGTTCCTTTCCTTCTGGCTCCCTTCAAAGCCCAAATAAACTTCATCCAGAGTCATCGTCCAATCATCGCGGTCCTGCGGGGCGAAGTCCACGCAAGAAGCGTCACCGTCCTGGAGGCCAAAAAATCGGCACACCCATCAGGAACCCTTACATCATACACCTGAACATTGCCTTGTACATGGTGGTTTCCCTTATTATCTTGGTGTTGAAAAAGCCACATGTTTCAAATTGGGCAAAATGCATCTTTTTTAAGGAGCCCTGCCAACGTTCACCCCTTTCCTTTGCGAGCGCCAAGTCTGGGTTGGACGCAGCTAATGCTTGAATTAGGTTTGGTGGGGATTATTCCGTGAAATTGTCCTGCTCACAGGACAGAACCATGCTGAGGTACTCAGAGTAAACCCCTGTCTCCAAGGGGGGTGCTTTTCCCTGAGTGAAACGCGGCGATTCAGACCACTTTTGGAGAGGAACACCCCCCATGAATAAACTGGGGCTAATTTAATCTGCGGTCAACATGAAGCTCTTCCCAACAAAGGTCCCCAAATCATAGAATTTGCTCTTCCAAAACCTCGCCCAATACTAAAGTAGAAGAGCCCTATAACAGCGGCGACTTGGCTATCTAGCTGGGTGGTTTTCTCACTTGGTGTAATTTATATGATCCTTTTGGGGTGTGGGACATGAAGGAACTTTCCAAAATGTTCCAGCCAGGGACTCGCTCATTTCCCCATCTCTTGAAGAACCACACATCATTTTGACCATGGCTCATAGGATCACCTAATATTCCAAGGGTAGCTTCCCCATTCTTTCCAGGGATCCTTCTTTCTAGAAAGCTACACAATACATGAGGAAACGGCTGGCTTTCGAAAAGAACGATGGTTAAAAAAAAAATGGGGACTCAACCCCAGATATGACTCATAGACTTCTGTTTGTTTGAGGAGGACATAGAGGTGGCCAACTCCCCCCACGGCCAGGGGAGAGGGGAAGATTCTACCCACGTCTCACCGGCGCATCCCGTGGGTCATATCCCGAATTTGTGCTCAAGTAACCGGGTCCGACGGTAGAGCCGCATCCGAGATAGATACGCATGGCAGCCACTAGATGCTAAATGACAAAGATATGTTTGCATATGTTGTCTCATGACCATATTATCCATCTGTGCTCTTGTTCCTCACTCACGGCGGAAGTTTTTTTCATGGGCATATTTTATTTGCAGATGGTGGACTATTGCAAATATGTAATGGCGCCTTATTTTATGCATATGTTTGTACTGATAACCTTTTTTTTAATTTAGCGTTTATTGCTATGATCGCTATCGTTGCTATTCATCCAAATAAACCAGCTACAGCACCCCTCTTCAAAAGGTGTATAAACCCGTTATAAAGTGGGTTGGCAATCAGGGAACAAACGGGAGTGATTGCCTCATATTGTTCAAACTGCTTTATACGAAGCACCGCACACCACGACTCAGGACGGGAGTTGAGCACTGGAAGGACATCCGTTTGCCGCCGACTCGATCGAATCGCCGACTCGAAAAGCACTTCGGCCTTTGAAAGAAACCCGAAAGAAGGTTGTGCAAGGGAAACATTTCAGCGTAACTTATTTGAAACAACTGCAGCTCTCCTTTAAAGGGAATGGGTTGACCAACCCGGGCTCAGGTTGAGGAACTCCCCATGGACCCTCGAGCCCGAAACCGACATCTTGTGGGGACACCAGGCCCGAGAACATCGTGAGGCTAAAGGGAGACTCAGTTGTTCAGTGGCACCCTTTTTCCCTCTTTGTTTTTGTGGCTGCCCACTAAAAATGGTCTTCTTCCAGGGTCACTGAACAACTGAGGAGATGGTCCCCCTAGAGTGGTGACATCTTTGAAGGTTCTCAAAAATATGCCCGGCCAGGGGTGCAAATGTATATTTTAGAGACAGATTCTGATCTGTGCTATGTACATATCTTTGTCTGATTCCGAATGGGCCTGGGAGCTTTTAGGCCAGAAACAAATAGAAGTGGTAGGGGTCACACTTGCACCACATTGGGAGGCAGAGGGCAAGTTCGCGCGTCAGTTCCAGGGTTGTCCTATTTGTCATGTCACCCCTGCCCATCAACCACTCGCTGGCTATGTCCAGTCTACGTCGAAACTCTATGGCTTTGTGTCTAAGAGGCCCAAATGTGGGCTACGGTTTTTCGTTGGCTTCCCTCCAACCCAGCAATGAGTACCCCACCAACAAGGGCGCACGCCACGAGGTTGTGGTGGGCGGAGGGGGAAGTGGTTTTGTTGGAGGGCACAGTTGTTTGGGATTCCGTTGTTGAAAGAGTCCTTTTTCGGTGTAGCTTTAAACAAAACACATGGTATATGACTTCACTTATGCTGGCCAGGAGGGGTGGTCTGCAAAGAAGGCACGCTGGTGCTGTACCGAGCTCAGAAGGAATCCCAAACAACGCCTGTGGCTCACTTGCCCAAAACCGACATGTTATTCTTTGGGTTTCCTTGAGTTGGCTCCTTTTGAGCATACTTGGTGGCTCCCAGCCATCCGGTTCCTTAGCTTTTTAGCCTTTTAGTGTTTAGTGGTAGTTTCCATCTACAGTAAACCACTAAAAGTTAGTCACTGTTAGCGGGGGATTCGAAACGGGCAGCCCAGCATATCAGTGCGTCAAAAGGTTAATCTTGTATTTTGTGTCCTGTGGACAACTGAGGTGGTCTTACAGGGTTCGTTGGGTGTTCCCAAGATTACTTTTGGAGAACCACATTGAAACCTGCGCCATCTATGTTCCACCACACTTCCCATATCTAGGTCCCCCAGTAGTGCCCTTTTACCCTTTTTTTGGGGAGGGTTCCCCTACTAAAATAGACTGCAGACAAAAATGGGGTACCCTTATTCTAACCTCTCTACTGGAGGACCTAGACATTGCCACAAAAGGAATGGATAGTTCCCTCCAAGCTGTAGGCGCCCTTTCGAAAGCATCAAGAGAGAAGAGGTCTGACTGGCTTCGACGCAAGCCAATCTATTTGAAGCCCAGAAATTCGGCAATGTCCCTCTTTGGTGAAAAACCGGAATTCCAAAATGGGCTGCCCTGGAAAGTGGAAACATGGACCGAAACCTGCGGTTTGCCCCTGCGATCGTTTAATTTTGAGCCACACCCATTTGACACCACTGAACTAGCGAATTCTCCGACCGACCCTCCGTTTCAGTCTTCTTCAAAGACCCCCTGCCCTCAGTCACCAAGCACTACTTTTGTGCGACAAAACCAGTTGTGGCTCCCGGGTAAACTCCTTACTTAAAATGCAAGCGGTAGCGCAGCGGTCTTTTCCTGCTATGGCTTAGAGCCTCCATGTTGCGATCACCATATTCACAGGTGCTCACATGTGTGCAGGGCATGACTGGATTTCACTGGTGGTCTAACATGCTGCCTTCATGCTCTGCACACACGCTGCATTTAGGGTATGATTTACCCCCTCTGTAGTGCTGACAAAGCGCACTCGTATGATACACCTTGCCTGTTGCATGCACTTTGACAATGCCATCTTTCTCAGGCATCTTGCGTTTCTTCCTCTGCCTAGTAGGCTTTCTAGCCCACAAATCGCTCTCACTGTCCTCATCTTCAGCGTGCATGCCAGTCTTCTTCTTCTGGTTCGTCTCATTCACAATCACCCGGATGAAGAAGTGCCATGTCCAATTGACTAGGCCCAAGGCTCCAACCACCGCCAAAATGGCAATGACAACCATCCACCATTCACTCATGCCGTCTTCACCTTTCTTTTCATTGGGCTCTCCATTTGCCCTGACCAAATTGGCCAAAGCAACCACCATCATCATGCGATACTCGCCTTTCAAGTCGTTCAGGATCTTCTTGCTACCTTTCTGATTCAGCATACTCTTCTCAATCTCCTTGAACTGCTCTTCACCAATGCGCTCGCCACTGCCGTCCACCATGTTCATCATGTACATGAGACCTTGGCTGCGGGCCTTGGTGAGGATCTTGGTACCGATATCTGCGCAGTTGATGGCTGTGGGAACGGCCGTCACTCTCATCATCTTCTCTTGCACTCTCTGTTGCGACCAAAGAAGCGACGCGTCAATGTGACGCACCCTTCCAATGCCGATGCGCCCGACCATTCCTCTCGCTGCCGAGCTGTCTGTCCTGCAAACTGTGTCTGGGACATCACCACAAAGGAACTCCCAGATGTGCCTCACGAACATCCCCTCGCTGCTTCCACTGACCATCGCCACGTACTCGCTCTCACCAGAACTGAGGGCAATTGAACGCTGCCCTCGGACCTTGGCCTCAATGAGGTTCCCGTCCATGTAGATCTGGTAGCTTGTTGTAGACTTCCTTGTCTCTTGATTGCCAGCGTAGTCAGCGTCAGTCACAATCTCCAGCATGTGGTCCGGCTTCGCCTCCACATCCTCAATGCTCCTCATATCCAGCACTGACTTGCCTTTCTTGGAGTCAAAGATCTTGATGCCATAGTCCATGGTGTTGAACAAATAGCTAGCCAGGTGACATGCGTCATACCATGACTTGGTCGCCGGGCTGGACATCTTGGATGCCAAAACCTGAATTGTATGCTGGGCGTCCGGTCTCTCATTGGCGATGTAGAGCATCTTGCCAACAACTGATCTGAAGGCCGTCAACTCCTTTCCTTCCAACGCATCACCCCAATCATGTCTGCTCAAGTCACTGCCAGGGGTGGTCTTCCTCTTCTTCTTGAAGATGTCTGCCTCTGCCGCAATCTCTTCAATGTGTTTCTCGTTGGCCCTGATGATGTAGCCATCATCCACCCTTGTGATCTTGCGCTTCAAGTACTCGAAGGTCTGACCAACCTTGAAGGGGCCACTGAACTCCACTTTCCAGCCCTTGCTCTCCAAGAAGGAAATGAAACCATCTATCAGCGCTCTGCGGCCAACCATCAACAAGTCATCAACGTGCAGGGTCAAGTACAACTTGTCCATCTTCATCAGCGTGGGCTGCATGATGTCCTCCACCAAGCCGAATTCCTTCGCTGCGTCCCTGAACAGAACATACCATCTGTTCGCAGCTGTTCTCTGGCCCGGCAAACACCTCATGAGCTTGTAGCTTTTGCCACCACACATTATGGCAACTTTCTCGTCCTCTGGCTGCG